CAAAGTATAAGCTTTTGCGACGTCGAATAAACGTTGTCTTGTAACCTTTTTTGCTTAAGTGATCTTTAGGTGATTCGGACAACGTAGTTACAATGTTGGGCAATAAAGAGTTTACCGATGTCAGTTTCATGACCTATTCCAACGTTATGCAAACGTCGTCTGTTTTACTAATTTTAACGTTGTTTAAATTTCCTTATTCTTACGTTGGGAGGACGTCGAACGTTATCCCAATTTAGGATTAAACGCGACTTAGACGCCATATTATTATAGTTTTGTATTTCTGTGAATTAGGATTTTAAACAACGTTGCAGTTTGTACTAAATTAGGCTGCTAGCCAACGTAGGTATCCAACGTCGTTTCAACCCAAAAATTATTCTCCAAACTAGTGCAGACTAGGGTTGGCACGAGGTTGTGCCGACGTTGCGTCCCGACGTTTGGTCGCGTGACACAACGTTGTTCCGACGTCCAAATGCTGCTTGGGTATTCTTATACAGAATTGAACGCTCTACAAAAAAGGTCTCTAACAATTTTTCGATAAACCTACTCCTTCAAAAGTTATTCACGGTTAAAATTTACCACTCGGTAAATTCCTAAATTCTTCAACTTTTTTGACAAAATTATGATTATTTTTGAAAAATTTAATCTATTACTGTAAAAATATACAATTCTGATGGTGTTAAGGTTGAGAATTAAGAAATCTTCAAGTCTAATGAAGTTTAAACCATTTATAAGCTGATTTACCTAAGTATAGCTGATTTATTTTAATAAACATTGTTTTTTAAAACAAATCAGCTATACTTAAATGGTAGGAATAACTTTTGAAGGAGTAGTTTTATGGAAAAATTGTAAGAGACCTTTTTTGTAGAGCGTTCAATTCTGCACAAGAATATTTAGATTGTCATGGCTGCGAGAGAACAAAAAGTGGCAAATTCCCATGTAATTTAAATGGTAAATAAATCGTCTTTGGGGCAAGGTTTATTGTGAATATTAAGGAATAGTCCGTTATTTTTTTTAGACAATAAACTAAAAATTTAGAGGGCGTCGTGATAGAAACGATCAACTTTGTAAATAACGGACACACTAGTGCACGGGTTCAGTGCTTTTATTTAAAATTTTGTCCCACGTTTAACTAACCGATTAATTTCAATAATCTCGAGTTTCAAGCGATTTCAATAATCAAGCGATCGCTCGAGCGAAATTTCGCTCGTATTTAAAAATACGGTTTTTCGCCCGTCGCTTGTTGCACTCGCAACTCGTAACGCCAAGCAGTAAGTTGCGTGCTTAGAGCACATATTCTTTTGGTGATGAATGGCAAGTAGCAAGCGACCAGCGACGAGTAATTCGCTTGGTTTAGTTTAATTTAAAGCATTGTCTATGTAGGTCGTAAAATTTTGTCATTCAGATACGCAACGGATAACGTCGTATAAATTTTCTACCTGCAATGTATGTAGAAAATTCGTTCGGCTTTGTATCGAGTATGTCACATTAAAATCGGATTTCAATTTATTTCATTCCGGAATCGCTTGCGTTCGTCGCTCATTCATAATCGAGCGATGTCGGTTATTTTAATAATCGAGTACTCGGGCGAATTTTTGCTCGATTTATCCCATCACTACTTTTTTATTTTTGGATATAGAACATTCATTAGAAAAGAAAATTATAGAAAAATATTTTAATCAAGAAAATAAAACATTAGTTCACCACAATACACCAAAACACTTTACTTTTGCACTAACACAGTAAAATGTTTTGATGTATTGTGGTGAATTAATGTTTTATATACGGGTACTGCATACAAGACTCTAAAAAAATGTGATGAAGTAAGTGGAGAAAGTCAATTTGGATTTAAGAACGGCTTTGGTACTAGAGAAGCCATATTCAGTCTTCAAACTTTAGTACAGAAGTGCCAAGATCAGAGAAAAGATGTCTTCATGTGCTTTATAGACTATGAAAAGGCGTTCGATAACGTTAAACATAACCTCCTTATATCATACCTCAGAGACTTGGGACTTGATGGAAAAAGATATAAGGCTCATCAGTAATTTGTATTGGAACCAAAAAGCTGAAATTCTATACATAGCGTGGGAGTAACAGAAGATTTTGAAATAAAAAAGGGGGTAAGGCAAGGGTGTATTTTGTCTCCAATGTTGTTCAATTTATATGTGGAAAGAGCATTCACTGAGTCAATCTCCGATAGTCCCATTGGTTTGAAAATAAATGGCATTCCAATTAATAATATCCGATATGTGGATGACACAGTGATATTGGCAGACAATGCAAATATTCTCCAAATCCTTCTAAATAAGGTAAACAGTGAAAGCCAAAGACAGGGTTTAAACATAAATACTACAAAAACTAAATTTATGGCTGTTACCAGAAACAATATTCCGAACACCAGAATTTACTTAAATGGAGAGGTCATCAAGCAGGTCACACAATTTAAATATTTGGGATGCATGGTTAACGAAACGTGGTATCCGGATCAGGAGATCAAATGCAGGATCGAACAAGCAAGATCGACTTTTCTGAGACTGCGAAGATTTCTCAGAGATAGGAATTTGAACTTCGGCCTTAGATACAGAATGGTGAAGTGCTATGTCTGGTCCGTTTTGTTATATGGTGTGGAAGCATGGACACTGAAGGTAGCAACAATAAACCGAATTGAAGCCTTCGAAATGTGGACCCTACGACGAATGCTAAGAGTGCCCTGGGTCGACCGTGTTAGGAATGAAGACATTCTTAGAAGAGCTGGTCTGGAACAACGTGAACTCTTCGAAATCATCAAGAAGAGGAAAATAGCCTATTTGGGACACATACTACGTGGAGAACGCTATCACTTTCAGCGTCTGATTCTCCAGGGTAAAATAGAGGGGGGGGGGCAAAAGGGGGATAGGACCAAGGAAGCTATCATGGCTGAGAAATATTCGTCATTGGACAGGCATATAGGACTTCCAAGCACTCCAAGTCGCGGCAGTTAACAGAACCATCTGATGAGGAAGAAAAAGATGAACGCCTACGCAGGAATCTGCACGGCACCTTAAGAAGAAGAATGTTTTATAGCGAATTAGTATTATCTAGCTCTGATAACAGAACTAGGTATCTAGGTAATAAAAATATGGTACTTAATTACTTAAACATATCATTCTGTGCTAAATAATCTTGTAGGAGTCACATTAAGTAAAAATCGAAATAAGTTTTGCGCCCTTATCTTTACCTAACCTACTTCTCAACTTTGAATACCATTTTAAAACAGAGTTTATATACCGGGTGCGTCTCAAAAGTAGCTCACCCTTAGAACTTTTTTAATTTTTTTAGATAAAAAAAACGAGATTTGGTAAAAAAAACGAAATATGATATAAATTAGGATTGATTGACGGTATTTAATTGTTTTTGGTAACTTCCTGTTTTAGCGGAAACGACTACAACTTTTGATTTTTAAATGGTACCCTCGGTATTTTTCTATTTTATTTGATAGAAAATGACACCCTGAAAAGAATGACACTTCATATGTCAACTTTTGATATTTTCGCTTAAAAAAATCGTATTTTAAATTCCAATCTAGAGTACCATGGCAGTGTTAAAAACACTAATAATTAATCAAGGAGCCTTGGAAAAATAGATTCGATCGACTAATGTTTTTCGTTTTTTGTTTTTCGTATTATATGTGATTAAAAATCGTATTTTTAATCATATCTCAATTTTTTCAAATGGGACGAGGGTGGCTCATTAGTATATTATTTGGAAAAAGCATTTTTTACAAATAATTTGGTACCACACACTTGGTATTTCGAGTCAAATTGTCGTTATGAGCCGCATATTACAATTTCAAATAAACCATATAAGAAAGTGTCAAAATTTGACACATGATGATCTCATTCTACTCAGAATATCATTTTCTATCGAATAAAATAAGAGAAATTCAGGAGTGAAACAGGAAGTGATCAAAAACAATTGAATGCGTCAATCAATTCTAATTTATGTCGTATATTAATATACCAAATCTCGTTTTTTTTATCTGAGAAAATAAAAAAGTTATAGGGATGAGCCACTTTGAGACGTACCCGGTATAAAACACGCGTTTTAAACAAGTGTTAAACATAATTCCATCTTTGGAGATAAACTCGTGTTTAAAACAATAAAAATTTGTTATAAATAAGATTTTTAAACACGATATTAAGAAAACACGTTTTTTTCTCAACCCTGGCAAGATTAGAAACAATTACACGACCTTTTATCGTCAAATATTTTTGAACCCCTCTAGGTTTACTTATTTCTCTAAGATGCTCGGCCTTAATCAACCCGCAACGTATGTCTATTATCTTTCGTCATACGCGGTTTTTCTTGTCGCTCGCTCGTTAGAAGTGTATTATCTCGTTTTTTTGATCAGTTACCTATGTCATTGATATATTTTGTAGTTTTAAGCCGGACTCAGACGACTCGTGTACTTGGCAAGTACACCAATATTTGCGTACTTGGCAAGTATACCATCTTTGTAAACAATTTTTTTTATTTGGAATCAACAAGGTTGGCGCTCGCGCGGCACGGCGACTGACAAATAATTGCACAAGTAAACCACTTTCAAGCCGGACTCGTATACTTGACAAACATTTGTTATTGGCATATTCTTGCCATGTTGTTTGAGTGGTTTACTTGCAATTATTTGTAATTCGTCACGCCCCGTGTCGGCCAAGCTTGTTGTTGATTGCAAATGAAAAAAAATGTTGTTTAAAAAGATGGTATACTTGCCAAATACGTAAACCAATTTGTACTTGCCAAGTACACGAGTCGTCAGTGTCTGGTTTCACAACATGGCAAGTATATGCCAATAACAAAGGTTTCTCAAATACATGAGTCCGACTTTAGGATGTACACCATTTATAGCTTTATATACACCTGATGAATTTAAACTTCTTTTAAAAATTCGAGCTAACAAAAAGCTAGCTACATAATAAAAAAATACAACAAAAAAATAAGTTCTTATTGAAATATTTTTTTTTCAGTTTGCAACTTTATAGTACACGAAAGATGCTGCAAGATCGTAATATCACCATGTTCTTGCATTGCGGCTAGTTTGGTCAAGGTAAGGATGAAATATATGATATGCTACTAAAATTATTTATCTTCAAAGTTAATTAACTCTTTTATATCTTGAAGTTTTAAATCATAATATCTTTTTTTTATAGGGAACGTTCTCGTTTGTGCTTATAAATGCTGGTTTGTGCTCATACATGCTCTTTATAAGGGAACGTCCTTGCACAATGATCCTTGACGTTCCTCGTATGGTTATCTTAACATTAACTATCTTAAATTTTCAAAAAATACTTTTAGAAAACAAAACATTTAGAAAACCAAAACATTTTGTGAATTTAATTAAATTAAATAAGAAATAAAGCTTCAAGTTTGTTATATTAAAAAATATTCCATGTGTTTATTGAGACTCTGACATAACATATTGAAGTATAAGATAATATTTCATTATTAAATCTTAAAAAAGTGATTTTATGTACCGAAAGTAAAACAAATTGTTTCTTTTTTTGTAGAATCCGGTAGGTCACTGCTGGTCAGAAATAATACACCAAAAAAGAAAATTTTGTAACGTATGCAGGAAAAGGCTAGACGATTGCGATTCAATTCATTGCGAAAGTAAGTATAACGTTTGTTTTGAACGGTGAGAGACAATGATGTTATTGAGTAATTACAATACACGAATTACTCGAACTTTTATTGCATTTTTGTCCAGCAAATGGATAGTTATATCACTATTAACAAATCATTGTCTATCAGCTTTATTTCAAAAATAGATGATTGCATCAACAGTATTTTCTTCATATGGTGCATGAGCCAAATAAGGCAGATTAACAGTGACCAACGCAATTTTTCTATTTTAAATACGACATAGTATTCAATTTTTGGATTCTTTACAAAATTCTAGACAAATATCATGTAGTACTTAATTTCAACAAATTGTTGTCTAATTGTCGCGTCGCGTCGTTTAAATTGCGTTAATTGACTATCAGAAAAAAATGGTTCATTTAACATAAATGCACAAAAACAAATCTACAGATGATATGGTTGTGGAATTAATATATCTACTGACACAAAACTTTATAAAAAAATTGTTTATTTATTTTATTATTTAACAAATGGACCAGCGCAGCGCCCACGGTGTGGCTATTTTGAGACAAAAGTTGCAAACTAGTTTAGTCCATAAAATAATAAATACGAGTACAAGAAGTGTCAAGTCAATGTTAAATTATGGAAACAGCGTGGCTGCCTGGGTAACTAATTTTCAGATATGGCGGCTGGGACATTTGACATGACATAGACATGACAATTTCAATTTTATGAAATTTATTTCCGTTTCCGGTTTTTAATGGCGGGCTGTTCAGGAGGTTTAAATGAGGGTTAATATACTTTTTACTCTTTCTAGTAGTAAATAATACAACAAAATTACTCAAAAATATTTATTTGGAATTTAGAACAATGTAAATATGCAAATCAACACAATTAAAGAGCTATAAACACATAAACTACTGTATCAATATCAAAATATTTAAATAACATCAGAGATGCTGTGTTAAAGTGAATTAGTAAAGTAACAGTGCACTGACTTACAGAAACTTGAAGATAAATAAATGTTTTCAGAGCTTCACGGGCATAAAACTAACTGGAAGCAGGAAAAAGACAACAGGAACCCACGCAAAACTTGGAATCAAAAAAAATATGTAAAAAACATAAATATAGGTACATAAGACTTTTGTGAATTAAATCAAACAGGACTTGAATGAAAATAAAATGAATAAAAAATATGATACATATACATCTAATACCTCATTTGTAATTTAAAAATAATATACAAAAAAAATAATCTACATACATAGCATTATTGCTATGAAAATACAAAATAGGTACCTTATGTGATATGTAATTACGCATTTCTGTTCATCTTGTAGATAATTAATGTAGGTTAATAATAGTTTAATAATCGTAATTTACCTTGTGTAACTTGCTTTCAATTGCTCAAAGTCACCGATCAGTCTTTAAAGTAGAGATACGGAAAAATCCTTGGTAAAGAATATCCCAAGATCCTTGGATCTAAAGCTAAAAAAATATAAAAACAGTTAATATATTACCTATTTTTACATATAATACGGCCCATACCTACTACACGCAGAAACGTCGATTTCATCATTTTCTTCATGTAATTAATATAATATATACTTTATTAAGGTGTTAACAAGGAACTTTATATCAAAAAACATCTTTTTACTTATAAATTTCAGCCGAAATATCAGAAACAAACTTCCAATCAAATCTAAACGGCAAAAATTAAAATGGCACCCGACCTTGCTAGAGGCCTCGGGAGCTGACACACAGACAAAAGACAAAAGAACAGGGCGCCGACGTGCATAAAAATGTTCCGTAGCAGAAATTGACAGTAATCATATAGAAATATTCAGATTTTTGTCTAGGACAGTCTAGAAGGCCACGCTTTCTGCCTGGGTAGGACCGCGCCAGAACTGTTTCCAATTTTCAGGTTTACTGTCACCCCCCTAGTTTACCTAGGGTTCCCAACCGTCCCGGTTTGACCGGGATTAACCAGGAATCAGAAAGTTTGTCCCGGCGAAAATTTTATCTTGGCCGGGACCAAAAAATCACATTTACATATAATATATTTGAATTTCTAATATTTAATGTTTTGTTTCAATTATTTAAAAACTTAAAAACAATAGTCCCGGAATCGCCGATGCTCAAGTTGGGAACCCTAAGTTTACCCTACAATCACTTTTCAACTAAAATGAAACTGCTACAGTGCTACACACACGGATGCAACTCATGCTGAATAAGTTACAATCAGTTGGTTTGGCAGTTGAATTAAAAAAAATTGACAATGTCAAATTCCGAATATTGAGAATCAGATGATGAAGACCTCATTAATTATCATAAATACCGCAGAAAACGCAGGACTCATAGAGAGTACTAGGTCGATCCATACATGCTTCCTCTATCACGTCTTTCTTGCAGTAGTCCAGAAAGTTTATAATAATAGAGTTCATCGTATTTCTCAACCTCTCCGATAAATATTACGTTCAGTTCTTTAATCACCCATTTTGAAATACACACAACCAAACTTATATGGAATCATCTATTATTTTTCATAATTTTTGAGATGTATGAAAATTTTGTGATTATGAATAAAACTCAGTCCTTACCAATGAATTTTAATGAAAAATAATTCATATAGCAATGAAAAAAATTAATCAGTTCCCAAAATAAACAAAATGGTTTTTTTGCTTTTTGAAACGAACTTAAGATTTAAATTTTTAATGGCCAAAAAGCTAAAACAAAAAGAAAATTGATAATTTTAATATTCCTTGTTGCCACCTCTAGCCTTTATGCAAGCTTCTATCCGCGCTGGCATGCTTCTTATTAAATTATCCACGTTGTCTTGGGGTATGTTTTCCCATTCTGCTAATGCTGAATCAATAAGCTGTGCGAGATTTCCTGGATTGTTTCGACGAGCTCTAACCCTTCTTTTGACCTAGTCCCACAAGTGTTCGATAGGGTTTAGATCTGGTAAATAGGTAGGTCAGTCCAAAATTATGACACCTTCAATGGAAGGTGTCATAATTTTGGACTGACGTCGGATGATATTGACGTCGGATGACATTCTCTAGTCACTCTGTTGGAATGGGGAGGTGCACTATCGTACATGAAGTTAAAATTATCCCCAATTGCAGCTCTCCAAAGACTAACGATTGGTTCTAGCACCAAATCAACATATCTCCGACCCGCTAAAATTTGTTTGTGACAGTTTTTGCTCCCAGTATAATACCTCCCTAGAACATTACAGTTCCTCCTTTATATCTTGGTACACATTTGGCAGCCTGAAGTCTAGCTCGTCTTCCTGGAACTCTGAGAACCCGAATTCGATGGTTATCTGATCTTAGGTCAATTCTGGTCTCATCCGAAAAAATAACATTTTGCCAATTCTCAGTTATCCAGTTTTGATGTTGAAGGCATCAATTTAGCCGATCAATTTTATTTTGCCTAACCCTACTGTAAAACCCTCGTGCCCGAAGCCTTTTTCTTAAGGTTTGAACTGAAACGTTCACACTTGTAGCTGCCAGAAGTTGTCTTTGTAGCTCTGGATGAGAAGCATTGGGATTTATTCTAGCAATTTAGCACACAAGGCGGTCTTGTTGTTCAGTTGTGACTCTTTGACGACTTTGTCTGGATCTATCATTGTGTGTTCCTTGTGTATCCTAATTCCAAGTACCTTGCATATGTTTTCGATACAACACCCTCTGTAACGCCCACTATCTTTGCTACGTCTCTCTGGATCATTCCTTGTTCGGTGAGAGCAATTTCTTCCCCTCTGTACATCTGTTAATCCAACATAAGGCATTTTTTTTTTGGATTGAATGAAAATTACCGGACAATCGTGATTTTACTACTGAACACAAAATTCAAAAGAAAATAAATCGCAGCAGTCGTTTATTCTTTATTATCATATTTATTTCCAACAAAAAGCCTTATCTTAAAGTTGTATACCAATTTTTATCCTTGCAAGAAATTTAGTCAGAAATAAAGAGTGATTCCATAGAAGTTTGGTTGTGTATGTATAAAATAACCACGTGGAAATTACTTGAACACGGGCAACTTTAAAACTGCAACGGTCGCGAAGAACAGATTTGTGACTGATTGCAAACTAATTTCATTTGAATCGATTCGTGTACGGCTTCACACTACTATACGTTACCGAGGTTGCAAAATAGTTGCAAGCTCAACCAATTTGCAACTTTTGTCACAAAACTGTCGCACCGTGGGCGCTGGACCTTACTCGTATTTTTAGGAAGGTATTTTATATAAAAAACATTTTACACAATATTTTTCATTACCAACTTTTTTTTTTTCTAAATGAAAAATTGAGTATGAATAAGGGTAATAAACAAAGGTATTTCAAACAAAGGTCAATAACAATCATACAATAAAAATCGGATTACTCTGAATTGTCTAAATTGTATTGCTAACGAAATATATATTCTAGTATGCGAGTACTACGTTCACGTGGAGTGCCAGGACTTTGCGGTACCCGACTGCAAAGAGAACGCCACCTATGTGCCGGGAAAGGAAGTGGAGGAGGTGGTGCACACTCACCAGTGGCGCGAGGGCAACCTGCCCAGCGGAAGCAAGTGCGAGTACTGCAGAAAGACCTGCTCCAACACCGAGTGTTTATCAGGATTCAGATGCGAGTGGTGTCGGATGACGGTTAGTACCAATAGAAAATAAATAAATAAGTTTATTATTTATCTATAATAATATAAGCACAATGTTTAATCAAATTATGATGATAAAATAGGCCACAAAAGGCATGAACATATTGTTGATAAAGAACATTGTATAGATCTTAATAATTTAAAATTAATTAAACAAGTCTTAAATTACAGGCAATTAGATGCATCAGAATTAATAAATGTAAAGATAGTATGAACAGAGACAACGGTCCAATTCCTTCAAGTTCTTTGTTCCTACTACTCTAGTGGCGGAAATCTAACTGTTACGCTCAGTGGGCTCTGACTCGGTTGGCTGGATTTTGCCACGCCCACTCGGTGCCCACTGAGCGAGTATATAAACGCTCAATTTGTAGATTGTACTTTAGTTTATAATCATCTGCTGATGATGCTAACATGGTTAGCGAAACGCGCGTCCAGTGTAAAAGTAAAAGTGTTTTGGTGTATTGTGGTGATAGATTGTTAGAAAAAAAAGGCGAGTGTGGGTTAATTAATTTTCTTTTTGACTATTTCTACTGACATATTTAAAATATCCGCTATTGTAGAATATGCTTTATTCCTTGCATTAAGATCTCTATATTCTTTACTTCTTACATCCCATAAACACTTCATATTGTGGTAAAGACAAAGATAAATATATATAAATCCATCAATATCCTCCGGCGATAACTTATTTGCCGCCATTTTTGTCAATAAACAAACCCGGTATTCGTAATGAAATCGGGTCTCACTCAACTTTGAAACAAACACGTATACGATCTACGAGTTCCTATTTACATATGCGAAATCGTATACGATTCGCTTATTCGTATACGAGTTAAGCTTGATTTTCATGCATCCGTTGCCCGACGATACGTTGTTACGATATTAATTTTATTGGTTGAATTTAAAGACTTCGGTTGGTTAGTAACGGTTAACCAATCGAAGCCTTTAAATTCAACCAATAAAATTAATATCGTATCGTCGGACAACGGATGCATGAAAATCAAGCTTTACTCGTGAATGTAATTTCGGCTTAAAACTTTGACGTTAAGTTAAATAAAAATGATAGTTAATTTTAACATTTGATATAAGTTGACATGTGCCTACTCTTTCTATATGCAAAATATAAAATACAACACTTATTAGCTCAGGGCCTTAGACATTTAAGGGCTAATCTCTTTAAGGTCTATAATAGGGGCTATAGATCTTTAAGGTCGCGGTGACTAACTTCCCCTCCTAAACATTCTACATTCTAGCTCAGGGCCCATACAACGTTTTACATGGATGACCTTCAACAAATTAGAGACAAGCTGCAATTTAGCATGGAGCTTCATTTTGTAGATCTTTAAACATTCTGAAACCCCAGCGATGAACCGTTGAGCCCGTCACCTCAAACCTACCACATAGGTAAAGAACCAAATTTTTAGAATTTCAGTGGCGCAGGTGCGAATTCTTTAATTTAGGAGGATTGTTTTAATAACCCACCATTTTGTGTTTAACTTCAAATGAAAACATTTTTGAGATAAATCTCGAGACCAAGAAATTTAGTAGGATACAAGTTTCTATAAAAACGATCTTTTTAAAGGTAAGTTACCAGTGACGGAGATAATTTTTTTAAATGTGCGTTTTTTACATTTTAAAAACATTGAATAAGAAAAATTGCCGTTTTACAAATAATTTCCCATGAAATAGGTATATTGAAAAATTTACACGTTTAATAACAAAATAAGAAAAACCTTAGCTCAGAAATAGGATAACTTGTCTTAAGGATAGTCCTCATTCACTTCCACATCTGCTGGGTTCATACAAGTAATGCCATTGCATTGACCACATGCCATAGTGCAGGTGAGTTCCATTCGCTTGCATGTACATGCATTTTTACAACATTTTCTCTAAAACCCAGGTCGGAGCAATGGGCTGGTCTGAATGTATTGGATTCATCTCTCGATTTTTCAGATTCCAACCCCAATCTTGCGGTGGTAAATTGTTATTTAACCAAGTTTGTACCCTGCAGATCTGTTTTTTCAATGCTATAATTATATAGCATATCACTATGGCAAAAATACCACTGTTGTTTTTGATGGCTATGAAGAGATACAGACCAAAATTGTGGAGCAGACTAGCAGATCTGCAGATAAAAAAATGGTATCAATTGTATCTTTCTCGAATTTATCTGCAGTGAAGGTACCAAAGGCAGATTTTTTGTCAACAACACCAACAAAAGCAACTTTATTCGTGCGCTCCGGAAAGTATTGTTGGAAAATGGAATCAATGTTAAATTCGCTGATGGTGATGCCGATACTCTTATTGTAACTACAGTGGTCGCAATAAGTGACAAGTTACCAGAAGGGGCCGTAGCAGTAGTTAGCGAAAATACGGACATTATAGTGTTACTTATTCATTATCTCCACAAGAGACTGTTTATGATTCGTCCGGGAAAGGTGTCAAAACCAAATAAAATAATCGACATATCGGTCTTATAACAAAAATTGGGGGATCTGAAGAATGTGATTCTTAGTGTCCACGCTATATCTGGTTGTGACACAAAGTCTGCTGTGTTCAATAAAGGGAAGATTAATTTAGTGCACACCATCCAGAAGAAAAAGTTATGTGAGCTATTAAAAGAATTTTATAATCCCGAGGCTATAAAGGAGAAGTTAGAAGAAGTTACATCTCAGTTTTTTATAGCAGCATATGTTAAAAACTCGACAAAAAAGTAGATTTAGATAGTGCCAGATACATGCTTTATCAACAGTACGTAGCTAAACGAAGTCTTAATACCAACTTCAACTTGGCATCATTACCAACTACCTCCAAGAGTGCGAAATATCATGGACTTGAGTTTTTCATCAGGTAAGTTAAATTTATGTTGCATTCAAATGTTAAAATAGATTCTTATTTTTGACTTACAGGTACAGGCTTGGTTAAATAACAATTTACCACCTCAAGATTGGGGTTGAAATCTGAAAAATCGAGAGATGAATCCAGTAGGTACATTCAGACCAGCCCATTGCTCCTACATGGGTTTTAGAGAAAAATGTTTGCAATTGCTCTTCGGGAGGCTATAAAAAAGCATGTACATCAAGCGAATGGGACTCACCTGTACTATGGCATGTGGTCAATGCAATGGCATTACATGTATGAACCCAACAAATCTATTTCATTGAAAATTATTTGTAAAACTGCAATTTTTCTTATTTAATGTTTTTAAAATGTAAAAAAACGCACTTTTAAAAAAATTATCTCCGCCACTGGTAATTTACCTTTATTAAAAAGATCGTTTTTATAGGAACTTGTATCCTAACAAATTTTTTGGTCTCGAGATTTACCTCAAAAATACTTTCAATTGAAGTTAAACACAGAATGGTGGGTTATTAAAACAATCCTCCTAAATTAAAGAATTCGCACCTGCGCCACTGAAATTCTAAAAATTTTGGTTCTTTACTTATGTGGTAGGAAATTTTCTTCTCTTCAATTTTTTACTCGTGACTTTTTTTTCCTAAAATTCGTAGTTTTAGAGCTATTGAAGAAAAAGTAGAAAAAGGGCCATTTTTACCCCTTTTAGGGGTGCTTTTGGGGTGACGGGCTCAACGCTTCATCGCTGGGGTTTCAGGATGTTTAAAGATCTACAAAATGAAGCTCTATGCCAAATTTCAGCTTGTCTGTAATTTGTTGAACCTCGGCCTGTATAGGCTCTGGGCTATATGTATGTACTATAATAAGTTTATTAATATAAGTTTACTGAAAATTCCAGTGTCACGCTGCTTGTCATGTGAACGTCGAAAGCGACTGCACGTTCGGCATGTTGGGGCCCATCTACCTTCCGCCACATGCGGTCAGCATTCCTCGTACCGAAGTACCAATGGAATCCATAATCGGAGTGCAAGTACGACGCAAGGAAATAACGCTTTCTCGTGAGTACATACCGTTTTACTATAAAATCCATACCAAAATATTATTACATATATTTCAGAACTATAAACATTCTTTATAATTAGAACTAAGATAATAAAATATAGAAATACACGGTGAGTTTCCTACGATGTTCTCTATGGGTATCTCGGAAACTACTGGAGATAGAGAGTCGGTTAAATTTGGAAAGAACTGCAGTTTTGTGGGGTCATAAATATGCGCCTTTCAGATTTTTGAAAAAGTTCATGGCTTACTAGATATTTCGAAAAAAACAAATTTCGGTCATTTTAAAAATTGTTCCTAATTCCATTATAAGCTATTTTAGACAAAAAGTTTTCAGATAAAAGTTGTAGATAATCAGATCCTTAATGAGATTGTTTCCTCCGTTTTTTTCTAAAGCCTGTCATTTTTGACATATGATACAAATATAAGTTTTTTTAAATGGAAACCATAGTTGGCCATGACTTCCTAAAAAGCGCCATTTTTTAAGCTTTTTAGCGATATAAGCTATAATATGTTTTCTTTGAAAACTTACTAGTTATAGCCAATTCTTAACATTTTTAAACAATTTTACTTAGTTAGCCATGGAAACATGTTTAATCGTCTTTGCTCTCAGAAATGTTAAGCTGTCACATCCAAATTTTGTAAATTAAAATAAACAAAAATTGTAAATATGAATTTTTCAAATGAAGAAAAGCATGTAGGATTATTGATTCAACTTTTCTTGACCATATGTACATTTTCGAGAATACGTTGACTGGTGAATGTTTTTCAAAACATGTTAGAAAAGTTAAATTTAGTTATAGCCAATTCTTATCTTTCTTGACTAATTCCACTTAGATTGTATTAGATCACTTTCTTCACTAGATTTCACATAGATGGTATTCTATTCTGGTACGGTATTCTTATCCTGTTATGATTTATAACTTATAAAAGTCAGAATATATTACTGAACGGTTTTTTACAATTTACATTATACAAACTAAAACTTAAAAAAATAATATCACTACATACACTTTAAGTTATTTTAGAAAATGTTCAAAAAATCCGTCATTGTTTTGAGTTGCACCTTTTTAAAACTGAATTACTACCTATTCTCACAGAAAGCAGAAAGACCGGTCGACTTAATTAAACTTCTCTCGTACCGCCACTTCTTTCAACTTCTTTTGTAAACCTTAATGTTAACCATACCGCATAAAAAATCTAAAATGGATAGGTCAGGTGATCGAGGAGGCCCATGCAATTGGTCCACCTCTTCCTATTCCTGAGTTTGCATAATTATGATATAAATAATTTTTAACATTTCTTTCATTATGGAAGAGGTCATAATGAAAGTTATGTTGGAACCACTCTATTGATGCGCGAGTATCTACATGCTTTTCTTCATTTGAAAAACTCATAATTTTTGTTTATTTTAATTTACAAAGTTTGGATATGACAGCTTCACATTTCTGAGAGCAAAGTCGATTGAATGAGAGAGCAACGGCGGTTTCCACGGCTAACTAAGTGAAATTGTTTAAAAATGATAAGAATTGGCTATAACTCAGTAATTTTTCGAAGAAACCATATTATAGCTTATATCGCTAAAAAGCTTAAAAAATGGCGCTTTTTATGAAGTCATGGCCAACTATGGTTTCCATTTAAAAAACATATGTTTGTGTCATATGTCAAAAATGGGAGGCTTTAGAAAAAACGGAGGAAACAATCTCATTAAGAATGTGATTATCTACAACTTTTATCTGAAAACTTTGTATCTAAAATAGCTTATAATGGAATTAGGGGCAATTTTTAAAATGGCCGAAATTTGTTTTTTTCGAAATATCTAGAAAGCCATGAACTTTTTCAAAAATCTGAAAGGCGCATATTTATAACCCCACAAAACTGCAATTATCTCCCTATTTAACCGACTCTCTATCTCCAGTAGTTTCCGAGATACCCATAGAGAACATCGTAGGAAACTCACCCTGTATATGTCATGAATTATTTACAAATACAGACATTCTATTTATCTGTAATACTTATTTTAAAATGTTCATTTAAAAGGCATATAAATGAATAAAATAAGAATATGAAGTGTTGCATATTAGTATATGTATCCTTATATCATAGATAGAGGAAACAAGTTTAGATTGGAATGCTAGGCTTTCCGCCAAAACTTATAATTGTTTTGGGATGTATACGCTGTAACATCCGTTAAACAAGAACAGAAATATTTTTTTCTTCTCAAAGTCAGAATCTTTAAAAATGATAAAACCTTTAAAAATTTAAACTGCCCTCATTGAAAAAATACCGAAAAGTATTTAAGGCGTCCATTTTCAAAGTAATTATTGCTATCTTGTGAGTTTAATTTAAATTTTATCTACTCAAACCCGTGATAATTGTGAAAAAGTGGCATTGAAAACTTAAAATGTTGTGTGAACTGTGAACTGCAAAAATCATCGTGGATCGTGGCATAATGTCGGTTTCCAATGTTTAATAAGTATTTCATACATGTCCTAATATAAAATAAAGTTTCTTATATGCAACACACTGTGTTTTATTGAAAAAAATTGGCGCCGGGAGGCACGTATAGCCGCCTATACTAAAATATGTTAATAAAAAATTGGTAGACAGTTCTTTTAGTTTCAAAGTAAAGGAATTTTTCCTATTTTTTTTATCTCAAAAACTGAGACTTTGACTGATTTTGATATTATTACAAATTTTGTTGCAAATATTCCTAATCTTAAATTGAAAACCGCGTTTCGCAAGCTACTGTAATTTTGGACTTACGATTTTTTTTAATTTTTAACCCCCTCCCATACCCCTTTACTAACCCCCCACCCTCACCAAAAACTAATGACCAGATTCTCGGCTGCCACAGTATTTTTGTGCCAAATTTGGTTAAAATTGGTTTAACGCTCCCGTTACAGATAACATAATAGAAAAACAGATCACAACATTGTTCCCTAAAGCTCAGTCAAAATAGTTGGGATATACCAAAAAAATACCGGATGATGTAATATGGTTTACTGAAGAAGAGGTGCGTTCTGCAGCAAGTAAACTGAAAAACAAAAAAGCTCCTGGCCCGGACTACATACCGGTGGAAGTTATCAAAATTGCTGCTATGCAAGACCCTCAGAGAATCACTGAGATCCTGAACAAGTGTCTTATCAACAGAGTTTTTGGAGAACGACTCCAAAGAGCGAATAGTATTTACATTGTCCTTATGGGCACTTTCCAATCCAAACTTGTTTTCTTTATCTATGCATTACTTATATACAGTATGTATCAGCGAAATCTTTGAATAAGAAGACTAAGGAAGGAGCATATCAAAAATCTTAGGTACACCGCGACGGGCCTTAAATATGGCCGACTTAAATTCCAGTTTATCAGTGTCGTTCTAATTTTATTTAAAAAATGTAAAACTATGATGTAGGGTAGACGTGGGGTAGACTCAATAATTTGTTGTTTTATTTTACGTTGTGAATAAATGTTGGTAGTTATTAAAATTGTTATAAAAATATATAATTCTAATAAAAATACATAAGTTATAATAAGTATTTATTAACACAAACATCCGATACGCTACTGAAGCAGGTAAGTCAAATTAACATATCTAAATTCCTTGACATCTAATCTTTGACAAGTAATAAATAAAAAAGCTAAAATGCAAGAAAAATATAATTTAGTTAATTTAAGTGAATTTCATAAATGATCAACGTATGTATATTATATAGTCACTTACTAGCGAAAGTTGTTCCATTATTTCACTCAATTTTGCCGAGATCTATCGCACGCTACACAACCAACTATTTTAGAATCTTTTTCGATAAATCGCGATAGTGTCACTGTTAATTTAAGTTCTGCCAGAATTTCCATCTAGATTTACTACCTTTATACAACTATCAGTAGTAGAATAAATAATAAATAACATAAATCAGAAAGCTCCGTAAGGACTGACAAATCCACAAAATTTCAAATCAAAATTCAAATGTGTCAAATGAATCGTCAAACAGAACTGTCAAGGATCCCCACCCTAGAGTGCTTTTATGGTGCTTTTTCCGCCCACCATGCATGAATACATGGATAGCATTATGCTCCTTCCTTAGTCTTCTTATTCAAAGAGCGAAATGGAATAAATGAAATTATGCATATTCGGAAAAATATACCCTTTTAATTATTATTACCGAATTTATGCCTTATATCTATAGTTATACCTGTACATATTACTCTAAAGTAGTTATTAGTATAGTCTGTAAAACGAATAACTTTGAATTTGACAGTTCCCTCGGGCTTTTCTAGTGTTAATTTTATTAGGTTAGCAACTTGCGGCCATGCTGACGCAATGCCGTCTCTAATAGAACAGCCTCGGAGCGAGATTTATGACGTCACGCTAGTTAGATACTACGGATTAATAAATATGTTGTAGAATACATGGAAAACATAATTATTCCTCGTATTTTTGGTTTGTATTTTAAAAATGATATAGTTTACATGAAATATACATAATATACAGTTAATAAATACAATATATATACCTATTTATAGTAATAAATACTTTGACAGATAAACTATGAACCATACAAATGCAGCAAATGTTTTACAATATGGCTGAAATCGTACTCCATAGTCAATGTAGATAGTTTTTGTGTTAAGAATAATAATTTAAAAATATATGTGCTCATCTTTTGACAAGTTTATATTAGTTTATGTATTGCAGTAAACATTATAATATATAAATAAATTTTGTGAATGCAAATAATAATACATCACTATTAGTAGATATTGAATGATTTTTGTTAATTAGATCGATTTTCAAACCCCAAAATTTAAAATATATTTTACATTTTACCCATTATCTTATGTACCACCTATTCATTATTTGTATATTGTAAAACATTTGCTGCATTTGTATGGTTCATAGTTTATTTGCCAAAGTATTTATTACTATAAATAGGTATATATTATATTGTATTTATTAACTTGTATATTATGTATATTTATGATGTAAACTATATCATTTTAAAATACAAACCAAAAATACGAGGAATAATTATGTTTCCATGTATTCTACAACATATTCATTAATCCGGGTATCTAACTAATACGTCATAAATCTCGCTCCGTGGCTATTCTATTACAACGACATGGGAAATCTAATATTTAGAAATGTCAAAAGCTGATGACATTTTACTTTTGTCAATTATGACATTCCGTGTTGATTTTTGCAAGAAGAGGAAGAACTGTCACTTGTTTTATTATTTTCCTTTTCTATTTCACGAAAGTAAAAAAATATACCTATCTGATTCGTTCAGGCACTCAATTTAAAGAATATCAGTAACTTTTTTGACAGAGTGATTTTATATTTGCCATGTTGGTAAAAAATAACGGTCAAAATTCAAAGTTATTCATTTTATAGACTATATAATAACTCAACAGAATATCAATTGGTTTTATTTTTGTCATAATCTAATAGTACGCGATACACGTTTTATTGTGTTTTAATTTTACATTATTTATTTTTACATTTTAATAATTTTAGTTGATTTATTTAATCAACATCATCTAAGCGTATAAAACACATATAGAATAATTAATTAATGTTATACTAAATGTCTTAAAAGACTAATTTTATTAGACTAAGTATTAATATAATAATCAACAAAATATGTTTTTTTATTTTTATCATAATGTAATAGTGTTTGATAGACATTTTCTACTCGATTAACATTTTTTTATTTTTTTTAAATTTTATGGAACAGTTATAAATTTATAAAGAACGTGTTAAAAAAACTAAAAAATTATTTTACATATTAGATTTTTACATTTTATTAGTTTTAGTTGATTTATTTCACATCATAAAGGCATATTAAAATACATATATTGATGATGATTAGGATGATTAAGTAATGCTTATATTAAATGATTTAAAATACTAAGTATTAGACTATAAAGCCTCATTCAGAACCTCGAAATTAGTGGAATAAGTTAGTGAATTGAAATATACTTTATACTTAAAAATTTATGACCATTCACAATGCTTAAAAAATACAATTAAAATTAATAGAATATTCTAGGAACAGCTTCCGCTACTCAGTGGTATCCATAGAGAAAGCAATAATTAACTTATAAAACAATAAACTTTTGATTTCTATCCACAATTTCTCTTGACAGATGATAATTAAAGGCCAAAATGGCATTACTCGCAAATTTTGAAGTATAATTGTGGTAAAAGTATGTTTGTTAACTTTTTCTGTTAATTGACAATTACTACCACTAGCAATTTTCAATTAGTAGAAAAATTACTTACATTGAAATTAGAGGCACAAACTTCTACGCTAATTGAAACCACTAATTTCAAGGTTTCGAGAGAAGTTAATTATGAATGCAATACTCAATAAAGTATTTTTTTAAAATTTTTGTTATAATTGAATAGTACTCGATCAACCTTTTCTTGTTTATTTTTAAAAGCCTATTAAAACAGTTTAGATCAAGCGTTTTATACAACAGTAAGGAAATGTTCGAAAAAAGTGTTGTAGTGTCGGTTTAAACTTTTCGTTTTAATTTTTTTCGTTTTAAGATAACAAAGGAATGCTTTTGCAGTCTCCAATGGCGCGGGACGGGCGGGCTCGGTCTCGAACTTGCGGCATCGCTTTTCCTTTGTTTCCTCCTTTTATCAGACACTTCGGCACAAGCCGCCTCGACGCAGAGGTACTACCTAACCGTTTTTTTTCTTTTGGCTACCCAGCGCGTTTGGTTTGGCTACTAACACCTTAGATTAAATACGCTGAAAGATACAGCAATCCACTACAGTCAGTGACGGTTAATCAATAAGTGCACATCAGCACGAGAGCTATGAAATTTAATGCTCTTCCTTGAGAAAATACTAATTAAAATTTCATTCTTTCATTAATTCTATTGTCGCGACCTAGCCTTGTGGAGCCATCTTATCCGATAGTCAAGCAGACTTAAGGGCGACCAACTCAGTAACCATCAATTCGAAGTTGGTAAAAGAATGCCTAGAGAACGTAAACAAATTAGGGAAAGAAAGTAAAACCCTTCTGGGTGCCAGCACAAGAGATAGAAGGTAATGAAAAAGCAAACGATCTAGCTAGAAAAGGAGCGAACACTCCACTAACTGGACTAGAACCGTTCTGTTCAATAAATGGAAATCAACTTGAAGCAGAACTCAAGAACCTAGAAGACTCCATCTGTAACCTGGAATGGGAATTCTCCAACGGTCTAAGACACTCGAAGAAATTTCTCAGGACTTGCGCCCGGGAAAATCAAAGATTTTCCTTGATTTAAGTAAGAACAATCTTCACATTATCACGGGGTTAGGTTAGGTTAGGACACTGTCTCTTCGATGAGCACTTGGGCACTTTAGTAGATTGAAGCTTAGAAAAAAAAGGCGAATGCAGATTCTGTGAGGAAAATGGGGAAACAGCAGAACACCTCGTCATTGAGTGCGCCGAGACTATTAGTGCCATAAACTTTGGTTCGGAGGTAGAAAACTAACCTCTCAAAACCGTCTCAGATATTGGCTTTTGTCAAAGACTGTATGACGAGCTATAATATCAAGAAACGGAGTCTGTGGGGGTTCAAAACCAGGAATGCTGTACCTTTTCTATATTTAATTTAGTTACTAACCCAAACATTACATACAATGACTAAGAATGTAGTCAAATATTAGTTTTTACACTTATACATCAAATACAGAAGGGACGTCATGGTAACCATTTTGAAACGCCTTTTATGACAGTTTAGTTTTCGAAACACTTGATGCATTTTATTAGGAATCCAGGAAAATAACATTTATTTTACTTTTTTCATTAATATTTATGGTTTGATTTTTTTTTATTATTAACCGTATTTTTTGTGGCGTTCTGATTAGTTAACCCCAGATGACGATGAAGATCTCTTAATTAATAAAAAATATTATAGACTCAGTATTAAAAAGGGATAGCTTTATAAATTGAGCTAGAGCGTAACACTTTTTTAATATGTTTGACTTGAGTTTTTGTGCAGATTTTTGACCAGATTTCTATAAAACAATTACAAACAACCGACTTAGTCGTGAAATTAAAAATTAAAATATTCCTAACATACGATATATTATTTTAGCACGGAGTACGTCAGAAGAGTTCAGTAGCGGCGAGGCCAGTAGGTACAGGGAGTTGGAAGAGAACACTCAAACACATTCCTCCAGTAGTAAAGAAAAGCAGGACAAACAGAATAAGAAGGAAGAAGAGAGAGATGAAGGTACTTTATAAATATTTTATGTATAATACTTTTCTGTGGCCGTCCGTACTTTAGTGTGTAGCAGCGGTAGTATGTCGCCTGTTATGCGAGAGGTACGGGGTTCGATCCCCAGCCATTAAAAATATTTATTTATCTAAATAAATATTTTTGACGCCACCTCAAGGAAGGCAATGCCAAACCACCTTGAGTATATTTGCCTAGTACAGCCTTTCAAACAGTGCTGTTCGGATTTGGCAATAAACTGTAGGTCCCGTGTACATGTGAAACACTGATGACACACAGACTCTGTATAGAGTTATAGAGTATGGCACTGTAAGAAGATAGTCTTCTCCAGAATCACTCATTTTTAGTAGTAGTACGGTCTAGCATATAGCGTAGCTATCGTCATGGCTCATACTTACTCTTAGTTAGTACCACATACTTTTTTCAATTGTTATACGCAATTCTAGTGAGTTTCAAGTTCCTTTGGCAATCTTCGTTTGGAAATGAAGATGGAAAATCAAATTTATCCATCTCTTCAATTTTAAGTGTATCTGCTAACTCGTTTGTTTAATCTTACCCATCATTTTGATTACAATATTTTAGACCCCCTCTTCAAGTCTTAGGTTAGCATAGTATATTCAGAAAGAGGGCATACTCGTTAGAAAGCATATTCGGAAAGCATATTCTGCAAAGATTGTGGAAAACCCTGTCTTTTTTCTAGAATGCTTTTGAGGCGCTGCTTGTCCTGTGCTGAATTTCAGAGTCCATATTGGGGTTTTCCGAAATCAAACTGCCGAGGTAATTGAATTCCGCTACATATTTCAATAGTTCTTCTCCGATTTATATAACATTGTTGTGATCTTCCAGGGGAGTGCACATGATTTTCGTTCTATCGATGTTCAGCTTAAGGCCCAAAGCCTAGTATGCCTAGGTATATGTGTTCAACATTTCTTGTAATGTCTTAATAAAAAATATAGTCTTTATTTAAAGTACGTAATCAATCATCGAGGTTAAGCAATGTTATGCGCGGTCATAATTGTATGGGTGACCAAATCTTTTTGTAGATGAAATAGCGTTCGCAATTTTAGAGAATTAGTCAACCTTTTTTTTAAGTAACTTAATTAAACAACCTCTTTTTTTATCAAGTAAAACTTAATTCATGATCCTAAACCTGCGAACGCCATTTCATCTGTAACATAAGGACTCAAATCTACCACGTTATGTCGATCTTTTTGTAGATTTTTTTAAACTTTTACTAATTTGTACAGAATAGAAAAATCTGAAAGTAGCATATTTTTAATTATAAAACAAATAAGGTCCAACTTCTAAATTAAGTTACCCGGTCGTGATACCCGTATGAAAGGGCTTCATTGGCACAAGCTTAAAAAAAATTTAATTATTTTTATGATGTATAGTTTTCGATTTATGACGAAGAATCATGGTCGTGGTGTCGGTCTGCTTTTTGTGCAAGACTAAGACTGCCAAACCAAGAGCAGTCTTGGTCACCATTACCACCATATATTAAGAGTCCGTTTCACTAATCTGAAAAAGTAGCAAAATAAACGTTCGGCATTTAATGTTTTATGTAAAACTGGCTAGGTATTTTTGCACAAATGAAGAAGGAAATTAAAGATAAAGGATTATACTATATCCGTATTGTAGCACATTTTTAGACAACTTCTTTATTCTTAAAATTGTGATGGTCAAACATCAACAAAATATTCCTTTTGTTTGGACTAAATTTTCTCGAAAATAAAGCCATAATTCAAAATTCTGTTACAATACGGAAATAGATCGGAGTTTTGTAATTACAGTGATATATAATTTATTTGGTTTTGTAACAATTTTATGGAAATTGCTGAAGCTCTGCAAACTTTAATCAAGCCTTAATCAAAGCACGTGTGTTTGGAATTTTGGGTCTGGCTTAACACGACAGGATCGGGCTAAGCCTCAGGCAGATTTCTGAAATATAATATACAGGGTCCGGCAATAGTGCGTCGGGCATCTGTAGCTCCTAGAATAAAAAACTTGAGAATTTTGTTTAAGTGCAAACCTAAAGTATGCATCAGGATGTATTTCAGGAAAATATTTTAACTTCTATAGGGTGGCTCAAAAAAGTGTGAGTGGACCTGGATGATTTTTTTTAAATGGAACACCCTCTATATTATTGCATTTTTGGCTTCCTTTCAGATCACTTTACATGACCCTAAGATATGAATAAATATATTTCGATAGTTTCAGAGATATTAAAAAATAAATAAAAGATATATATTTTTCAGCCCTTCTTAAAAAAATTATTAAAAATACAAGAACTGTTCTGAAATCAAAACTATATTAGGTATTTACTTTAGATAGTCTGTTCTTACTTTGCTATAAATATCGTAAATCATACAGGATGTTCAATATTCTACGCCAAACTTTCTAAAATATAAAATAAATTTTCTTTGTTATTTTAAATGGAACACCCTGTATATTATTTTTTTATTAGATGGAGAGTTAAAAAATGAACATTTTTTGTATTTAGAGTGTAACAGGGGGAAATTTTGAGGGTCGGTTTGATGAAGTAAAAGGCGATAGTTTAAGTTCCTCGTGTATTTCTCTCTCTCTTTTGTAACTCTTTGCTATAATGGCTAGAAAATTATATAAATGTTTTGCTGATCTTAAATATTATGGATAAATCTTACCTAGCACCAAGTTAATTCATACAAAATATAATAACTAATAAGATGTATGGTGAAATTTTAAACCACAGGCTGCCGCCGTTATTTGCAAAAGTTAAGAATAAATGTAGAAATAAATTTACTTAATTCGAAGATATTTTTTATCCGCATACCAGATTTATTTAATAAAATGGGTATAAGCGGCGACATCTACAAGACGGATGTTTGAACGCATTGAATATTAATAAGGTTTACTACATTTACACTAAAATATTCCCATGTAGTTCAGCAATTTAACAACAAATAATCAATAACCTATATATTTTGTTTCATCTGCCTCCCTGTGAACTGAGAGATCGAAGAACACACGAGGTTCACATAATTTATAAATTTAATAAATAGTATCAATATATGTGCTATAACTATATAGCTCACACAATTTATAGCGGGTGATATGTATGGAGTTGCAGCACGTTCAATTATACCCAGATTTTCCATTTACGTGTCAGTTTTATTGACGGCTTCTCGATAAGCTGAATATGGATATGACTTATCGGATATGACTTAATAAAAAATGGATCGGTATTATGAAGTTTAATTTGATGATTATAATTTTTTACACGACCCGGTATATTTGAAAAAATCGATTCATATTGCTAATCAATTCTTTAAACATATGTTTCTCATTAAAACTTAAATTTGTATTTTTTGTGACATTCTGTATATCAGTTGACTGCACAACTGCATTTGCTGTAACAAAACTCTCGTATTTTGATAAACTGCGCAAATTTAACGATTCTCTACCATTATATTCGTGAGAATAAATTTTTTCTGATAAAGCAATTTCTTCATCGCCTACCGAACAAAATATTTTATTTATATTTATATTTAAATCGATACGTACTTTGTATTTTCGTAAAAAATCAATTCCTAAAATAATTGAATAAACAAGATCGGGTATGACAAAAAATTCCTGGTAAAAAATATTATTTTCACACGAAAAACAAATTAAAGTTTGTAATTGTATTTTTCTTTGATTTTATTTAAACGCCCCTATAACTCTTATACCAGAACACGAAAAAGATGGAATGTCACTTTTAATTTTATCAGAAAAAGAGTTCCAAACGTCTTCAGAGACTGCGGAGATTTCACTTCCAGTGTCAATTAAAGCGGGAAAAGAATAACCATACAATTGCGTTTCGATAATCGGCGATCTATAATTAACAATTTCGTGCTTAAAGCTACACTCATCTTTAAGTAATTCATCTCTAACGTTATTATTAAAACAAAGCCCTTTTAAAACGTTTTCCACAGCCGGGCTCGTCTTGTGGAAAGCAATCTAGTTTTCCGAATTTTCCTCACATTCAACATTATCCACAGTTTGCAAACTAGATAAGTTTTTTGTCTGATTTTGTCCCGACATCTGTTGTGATTGTGATCCATGTCTAGAATTATTTTGTTTATAAAAATAATTTTTCCAGTCTTGTTGAATGTGAAAAGAATCCGTCATGTACTAGCACTAAAATAATATTCCGCCTGTCTAAGACGCTGAAGGGCATCTTGAAATGTAACTGCTCCGATTAAAGTACAAGAAATACTTGGTGGAAAATGTCGCGCAATAATTTGAATTAATTGTGGGGGCGGATGAAGGCAGGTTCTAAATGTTTAATAAAACTACATAGGAATTAAATATTCTGTAAATGTAGCGCTGCCATTTATAGGGTAAATATCCAAATCTAATTTCAGTCTAATCTTAAGTTGTTGAGATTGATTCCAATATTGAGCTAAGAATTGATTTTTAAAATCTTGAAAATTAGTGAAAGTTGATAAGAAAGCGTTCATCCATATTTTTGCGTTTCCTCTAAAGAATAAATTAGTTATACTATCTACTAAAAACTGATCTACAGAAACATTTTGTGACTTATACATGGTTTCTATTTGATTTAAAAAATCTACAGGGTGTATATCCCCTTTATCATCAAAAATAGGAACGTCAGCGTTCGGTTTAAAAGTACAAATATTTTGAAAATGGCCCTGATTAGAATTAATATTATTATTATTTATATTTGACTTATGTACTTCATTAATAACACTAGAAATTATCGTTTTTAAATCTTCTTGCTGCATGGAACAAGTAGTCGGATTACAAAATGGCGGTGGCATGAAATTTGCCGCTGGCATATGAACTGCCGGTGGCGGTACAAACATAAAGTTGCCTCACTGATCCCCTTCGTTATTATTGCCTCTTATAAACGATCCAGATAATACAGAATTTGGAAAGATCCTACCTTGTATCGTTGGACTTGTGTTCGGTACCGTCGTGGCTGTCGTAGTTGGTACCGGCCCCTGAGGCGTTGTGGGCGATGTTGTTATGTGATCAGAAAGAGATTGTCGACCTCGTAGATCCAAAAGTCGACTCTGGGTCTCACCACGAAGGTCGTAGTTGTGAGTCCTTGGGGTGGCACCGTTATTCATCTCAGATAAATACACGTAGTCAGTAGTTCTTCTATTGTCTATATAATACTTCACCAGCCTCTAGTTGGGCGCCAAGATGTAACAGGGGGAAATTTTGAGGGTCGGTTGATGAAGTAAAAGGCGATGTTTAAGTTCCTCGTGTATTTCTCTCTCTCTTTTGTAACTCTTTGCTATAATGGCTAGAAAATTATATAAATGATTTGCTGATCTTAAATATTATGGATAAATCTTACCTAGCACCAAGTTAATTCATACAAAATATAATAACTAATAAGATGTATGGTGAAATTTTAAAACCACAGGCTGCCGCCATTATTTTATATAAGTTAAGAATAAATGTAGAAATAAATTTACTTAAATCGAAGATATTTTTTATCCACATACCAGATTTATTTAATAAAATGGGTATAAGCGGCGACATCTACAAGACGGGTGTTTGAACGCATTGAATGTTAATAAGGTTTACTACATTTACACTAAAATATTCCCATGTAGTCCAGCAATTTAACAACAAATAATCAATAACCTACTATATTTTGTTTCAAGAGTATTTCAAAATTTGTATCGGTTTCGCAGATACGCGCAGTATTATTTCATATGGCGCTTTCAATGGTAAAATATGAGAGAAAAATCATTGGGTGGCTTTGATAAAAATTTACTGTGGAAAATGCCATATGAAATATAAACCCGCAAATATCTGCGAAACCGTTAAAAATTTTGAAATACTCTAAATACAAAAAATGTTCATTTTTTAATTCTCCGTCTATTGAAAAAATAATATACAGGATGTTCCATTTAAAAAACAAAGAAAAATGATTTCATATTTTAGAAAGTTTGGCTTAGAATTTTGAACATCCTGTATAATTTACGATTTTCATATTTATAGCAAAGTAAGTACAGACCATCTAAAGTAAGTACCTAATATAGTTTTGATTTGAGAACAGTTCTTGTATTTTTAATAATTTTTTTAAGAAGGGCTGAAAAATATATATTTTTGATTTATTTTTTAATATTTCTGAAACTATCGAAATATATTTATTCATATCTTAGGGTTATGTAAAGTGATCTGAAAGGAAGCCAAATGCAATAATAATATACAGGGTGTTCCATTTAAAAAAAATCATCAAGGTCCACTCACACTTTTTTGAGCCACCCTATAGAAGTTAAAATATTTTCCTAAAATACATCCTGGTACATACTTTAGGTTTGCACTTAAACAAAATGCTCAAGTTTTTTATTCTAAGAGCTACAGATGCCCGACGCACTATTGCCGGACCCTGTATATTTCCTTCGGCCACACACCCGCTTTACCCGGCCCATGAGAGCGACCCGAACAGTACAGCGTAAAATACTTAAGTTTTTCGTATCTATTAATACTAAAATGTTTAATATTACTTAGTCAGATAATTTTCCTCTCTCGTTTTTCCAGAAGTGATCAAGGTTTTCGACGGTAACAACTCCCTACGCAGGCGCATCTTCAGGATCGTGGTCGTTTCGCGACAGGCCTCGCTCAACCAGCTGTTGGTACATGCCCTGAGGGCGTTCCACATTACCAAGGACCCCGGCCAGTTTTACTTGACCGATCTGTACTCGCCGGAAGAGGCGGTGTTGCGCGACCCGAATCCGGTACTAGCGCTCAACAGGAAGGAAGGGAAGAGACCAGCGGTGTTTCTCAGGTTTAAGTAAGTTTTACTTGTTCCTGATACGACAGGGTCTGCTTAAAAATGTGTAAACTCTGATATTTTTATTACACTTCATATATTTATATTACAGTGAAAGTCGGAAATTCAGTGATACTAGCAAGCAAAGCAAAGCTAGCATTTACTAGCAAAAATTGGTTTCATAGGTAACTGTTAACCTTTTACTGGCGTAAAAAATATCTATACCTATGTGGCGGATTCGTCTCTCCAAAAAATCCTATATGGGTATTTCGCCACTGCAAGAAAATCTACAAAATAAAAAAAAACACTTATAGAATAGTGTTTATTGTTTTTGTTTTGCTCTTTTTTTACTGGCGTCACTGGCCAAACAATCACTAATTTCCAACTTTTACTGTAATATATACAGGGTTGTTCACCACATACGACGCGGACTATTATTGAAGCTAAACTATTAGATTTTTGCATATTGTATGTTTGGGTTCTTGAAGGACTATTAGAGCTACAATTTAAAAATATTTTTACAAGATACAGAGTGTCCCAAATAAAAAAAAATATCAAAGTTGTATTTTTTGAAATGGAACACGTATATTATTACATTTTTAGTTTCTACAATTAAAATAAAGGTAAATTTGATTAAGGTTTACCGCATTTTAATCTTACCGTTTTTGAAATATTTAAGTTTTTGTCAAAATACAGTAATAATTATAATGCTTTATTTCTCTAGGCGTATTTAAGTTTTTAAAACCAAATATTGTACTGAAGTATTCAATTTACTAAATTTTGTGTTGCAATAATAAAAATTATACTACCTTATACAGAGTGTCTAAAAATTTATTTTATATAATAACTAGTTTTAAACAGCAATAACTTCTTTAATTCAAATGGAACACCCTGTATATTTTATGATAATCAGATGCACAATTTAATTGTCTATCAAATTATATTATATCATTTTTTATCTATGTCTTCAGGTTTTCTTAGAAAATGCATTTTCTTATAATTTAGACCTCAATTATCAATATACCCTTGGAATATTGACATTTTTTATTATTTTTAAAGATGTAACAAATTTTTCAAGGGTACAGATACTAATATTGTCGATATAGTTCGTTTATGTCATTAAAAAATAAAAAAAATGTTTAAATATTTGTAAAAAGGACCAATTATTATGATTCCAGTATTCAAACTACATTAATGGACTGCTTGCATTGATTAATAATAATTGATTGCTCCAAATACTAAAAACTGAATTATGTATGTGTATTACACAGTGTGGTAAAAAAACTAACACCTTAAAAATTATATTTTATTTTTTGACAAATGCTTATTTATAACAACAGAGACGTTCATTTTCATAACTTATTATTATATTGATTTCTGATTCAAATCCACATTTATTTAGAATAATTTATTAACCAACACAATTAAGTATGTAATTAATTAGTATTTGGGCGGAAATACTCGTGGTATATTTAATTAATGGTATACTCTTTTATAAAGATTTAAATAGTTTTCTTTTTGCATAAAAATGGTCTAGTAATATTATCGTTTTACTAAAAACGATAATATTACTAGTCTGTACATTTTGTACATTTGTTGTTTTAAAAACAATCTAAAATGTCAATATTTCATGGGTAAGTTGATAAATGAGGTCTAAATTATAAGAAAATTCATTTTCTACGAAAACTTGAAGGGATAGGTAAAAAGTGGTATAATACAATTTGATACACAATTAAATTGTGCATCTAATTCTCATAAAATATACAGGGTGTTCCATTTAAATTAAACAAGTTATTGCCGTTTAAAGCTAGTAATTATTTAAATTAAATTTTTACACCCTCTGTATAAGGTAGTATAATTTTTATTATTGCAACACAATAACTGATCAATAAATAAACTTCAGTAAATATTTAGTATTAAAAACTTTGATAGCCTTGGAGAAATGAAGCCTTAAAATTTATACTGCAATTTCACAAAATTGAAAATATTTCAAAAACGGTAAGGTTTAAGTGTAATAAACCTTAATGAAATTTACCTTTATTTTAATCGTAGAAACTAAAAATGCAATAATATACAGGGTGTTCTATTTAAAAAAATACAACTTTGATATTTTTTATTTATTTGGGACACTCTGTATCTTGTAAAAATATTTTTAAATTGTAGCTCTAATAGTCCTTCAACGAACCCAAAACTTACAATTTGTAAAAATCTAATCGTTTAGCTACAATACTCCGTGTCGTATGTGGTGAACAACCCTGTACACTCACCGGCACGAAAAACGGTCACCTTAAAATTTTCATGTATTTTAAATTTTAATATATTTTGTTATAGTGGGCCGATTTTGATAATTTTTTAAGCAATTTGTGACTAAATTATTTAAATTTTTAGTATTTCTCTCTAAATTAATAATGATAGTTTCCATCTGTCAATTACACGAGGGAATACAAAATGTTGATATTTTAGTGAAACTTTGAAACACCCTGTGAAAAATGTTAATAAAGCAACGAATTTACAAATAATGTTATCACCTAGGTACGTCTTTTCTCGATAGTTTCTTTTTTGATTCATCTCAATTGCTTTATTTTTGTTGGAAATATTCGATTTTGAATAAGACAGTATAGGCCAGTCGGCAAGTGCATCGATGGCGGGAGCAAATCCGGACAAGCTGGAATAAGTTTTATTTTGTTAACTTTGGTATCGATGAGCACGTATTAAATTTGCACTGCCCGTAAAGTCCGGATTTGGCCCCCATCTAGGAAAAATTGGCTAAAATTCGGTTTATTTTTCATTATTTGTCAATAACTCGATTTCTATCAACTTTAGTGCAAAATATGTAGAGGGCAATATTAAAGAAGAGGAAAAATTCTATAAAAAAACGTTGTATGGTTTTTTTTCGTGCGACTACCCAAAGTATCGAATTTTACGAAAACAAAATTAAAGTTTGATATAATGTACGTGTTCAATATATCCGAGGTTAACTGTACTTGTTTCTACATCACCTTGAGCGGCATCCCCGAGACATAAAGCCTAAAAACTTGTTTGCTACTGGTTGCCAGTAGCCTGCTGTTGCGGTCATAATGGAAAAACGCAATTTGCATGATGACCGCAATAACGGACTAAATTTTTATTGTTGCGCGACTGGTGGAAAATCAAGTTTAACCGCCTTATCTCTCAGCGAGCTGCCTTGAGGTAAAGTACCCGGCGCGTTTTTTTTTGAGTGGTCTCCACATTTCCAATAGGCCTAATACACATGTCGTCAATTTAGGTTTCTTTTGAGGTGGAAGGTACATCAGAGTTCCTTCGTTTTTTGATGTTACTGGCTGTTCAATATAATCTTCCTGAATGTCTTCCACATCTGTATCATATTCCGGATCTGGTTCATAAGGTGCAGAATATTCTTTTCGTTGATCTTTATCGAGAGGAAAATTGTCCTCGTACTCATCTTCGTCTAATTTTGCCATCTCCAAACTATTCGAACATGATTTGCCCTGACAAAGTGCACACATTACCGAGCAACGCAAACCTGCTTTACGGCCACTACAAGATATATTACAACCTTTGGCACATTTACATGAGGCAACGGCCCAGCTGCGTCGAAACACCGGTTCCCATTAGAACACGGAAGTTAAGCGACGTAAGGCGATACTAGTGGATGGATGGGTGACCGGTTCGAAACTCTGTATCGTGCTGTTGTCCCAGGCAAAAGTGTAAAATCTATTGACACACACTGCTCATTCACGCCGGTTCGAGGCCGGATGAGATCGGATATCTCGTGAGTAAGAGTCGATTTAGACACATGCCAAGTCGGTAGGCCATTGACCATGATATGGCCGAGGACCGCGGTTCGGATTCCGCGTAAACAAAGTAGGCCCCGTCCAGATGATCCCTGGCAGCAAAAAGGAGACGTTAACTTCAAATCTTTACTTTACTTTACTTTTTTACATTTACATGAAATCAGATTTAATAATACTTGGGGAGCTGCATCTTGGGAAGTAGCAATGGGCATCAACCCATTCTTTGAATTTTTCCATCCCCAATCCAGAGGTGATTTTTCATTCCCATACCATAGCTGTACCTGACTGTACGTACGGAAGGAGTGCAAGCGAGCTGCGTCTTTGGTCGGTGGTAATGATGCTAGGTTTGGTCAGCTTTTGGTAATAGATTTTACGAAACACTGGTATCTGTACTTATCTAATGAGTCGCATTTTTTGAATCCATATAGATGAAGAAGAAATCGTTCTCCAGCTTTTTCTATATCTTCTGGGAACGTTTGGCTCTGATGCGTTTGCAACAAGTTCTTTCTGCAACCAATAACAGACGACTACTATTTAATTGTGTCTCCAGCAGTCGAGCAGCGATCGTACATGACCTTGAGTTAAAGATTCCGCATAACAACAGGAGCAGGGTTCTCGGAAAGACAAAAACTGCCTAGAATAGAGGAAATAATAACTGTTTATAATATATTTAGCGTAATAAAAAACCGAGATAACTTGGAAACGGGTCGTCGCACGGAAAAAGTACGTAGAACGTTTTTTATAGAGTTTTTCCTCTTCTTTAATTTTGGTCTGTACATGTTTTGCACTAAAGTTGATAGAAATCGAGTTATTGACAAATAATGAAAAATAAACCGAATTTGGCGGCCAAATCCGAGCTTTGGGGGTGGTGCAAATTTAACACGTGGTTTCTTACACTAAACTAAACAAAATAAAAATTATTCTAGCTTGTCCGGATTTGCTCCCGCCATAAGCTATTTTTTAATACTTGGCGACTCGCCTAGTAACGATTCACAGCAATTTTAATATTGATTTTGGGTCCTCATCAACACACTTATAAAATAGTATGTATTGCTTTTGTAATGTCACTGTCATTAAAAAGTCATAATATTATTGTTTATTAAAGTTTTTTCTAATTTCCGGTTTTTCTAATAGAGAAAAAAATGTTAGTGTCTTCGTCAAAAGCGAATATCTCCAAAAAAAAAATAATGCTAACGAGATGAATCAAAAAACAAATTATCGAGAGAAAAAATATACCAAGATAAGAAAATGATTGTTAAATTATTTGCTTTGTAAACGTACTCCACAGGGTGTTGGTTAGGTTACTTTCACCAAAATATCAACATTTTGTTTTTCCTAGTATAATTGACAGATGGCTGAACTTTCATTTTAAATTTAGAAAGGTACATTAAAAAGTCAAATAATTTAGCTACAAATCGCTTGAAAATCGTCAAAATCGGTCCTCTAAAACACAATATATAATACTTTAAAATACACGAAAATTTTAAGGTACCGGTGATTGTATTTTCAAAATAAAAAAATATTGCGCCTACTTTTTTTATTGATAGTATCGATTGATCTTCTGCTTTTAAAAATCCAACTTATTTTATTATTTTCTGTCATCATCAGGGATAGGGAAAACGACAAGGGCGAGGTGAGAGTTTACCCCGGAAAACTGCAAGTGTCACAGGCTTTCTGCACCGTGCCTGTTGACTCGAACACAACCATTGCCGATCTCATCAGAGAGGCCCTGTACAGATTTGACGTAGAGTACAAATGTGACGACGTGCGATGTTTGGAAGTGCTGCTAGACAGAGGAGGTGAGTACTAGAGATGGTCAAAAAATATTTAACTGTGATATTTTCACAGTGAAACATAATTAGAAATTCAAAGCTGTTAACAATTTAACAATAAACTATGAATTGCTAAAACGTCAATGGAACAGCAATTTGGTGCGAGGCGACGTTCTCTACTATCTACCGTGCGTTTCTGAAAATTGACTCACCCCTATAACTTTTGCTTATTATTTTGCTTTATTATAATATTTTTTGCTTTATTATAATTTTTTCACATAAAAAACAAGATTTGGTACGTTAGTATATGGCATAAATCAGGATTGGTTGACGTATTCAATTGTTTTTGGCCACTTCCTGTTTCACCGGAAATGTCTACATCTTTTGATTTTCAAATTACATCCTCCAGATCCAGATAGAAAATGACATTCTGAATTAAATGACATATCGTATGTCAACTTTTGACATTTTCAATTAAAAAAAAATGTATTTTAAATTTCAGTTTAGGGTACCATGGCCATAAACGTAACGACAATTTGATTCGAAATGCTAAGAATATAGTACCACAGATCATACAGATTATAAACTTTGTTTTTTCTTTATAGTTTTTCGTGGTTCCAATTTTCGGAATCGGGCACTAGTTAGGTTACTAGTTTGCGCACATAGCACGCCCACTTATGGCCTCTAAAATTGTGCACAGCGCCTGACCGGCACAGTTATTAGAGAGATATCGGAAAACCGAATAGCGTCATGCAGTATTTACGTATTTACGTATTACCTTATCATGGTTACGATATGCGCGAGTCAATTTTTAACGCAACACCCGCTAATAACGTTACCGCCTGACGTAATTTGCGGATCAATTACACCAAGAGCTATTTCAAAATAACGTTTAAAAATTGCTTAAATGGGCATGTGCGGGTACATTTGACAACCGGGGCCGGCCGGCGAGCGGCGAGATCTTTTATTTTAGGTTATGTTTGAATTGTTTTGGATTATTACTTTAGTTTTATTAGGTAATTTGATATTTAAGTAGCTGGGATCAGCTTTAATTAAATAAATATGGCCCAAAATATGGATTCCACCTCTTCCAATATTAAAGAACCCATAAAGAGGCTTAGGTTTACAGCAGATGACGACTTAGCCCTTCTAACAGAATTTGTTGCTTGCTGCCCTAAACCCAATGGCAGACGTTGAACAATGAAGCACTGGAAATAAGCACTTTAGACCTTTAGTTTTAAAATACCTAGTAAACAAAACAATTTCAAAGTTTTAAATTCAAAGTTAGGTTAAGTTTAAATAGCGGACGCGACGCGAACAGAATTCTTTCCGATCCGATAACTATAAATGAAGAGTGTTAATACCACCTCACGTAAAAGAAATAACACCTGGCCTTATTAACGTCCATGCACGCTATTCGGTTTATCTTTTTTCTCTCTATTACGCTGTTTATTCTTATTTTACGCGAGTTTATTTTTGCGCACAGGAAATTTTACTCGTTTGCACATCGTCATAAAAAACAATTTTCGTACCACGAATTAGGGATAAGATTTTTATCTGTATACATATAGTATAATAAATTATTCCTAAAAAAATGCTTTTTCCAAATATGCTAATGAGCCACACCCGTTCTATTTGAAAAAATTGAGTTATGATCAAAAATACGATTAGGTCGTCTTTTAACTATTTTTTTTCAAGAGGCCTTGTCTTGGGCCTCTTGAAAAAAAATGTTTTTTTAACACAGCCTTTTAGCATTGCACTTTGAGTAGAGTTCAATGTTAAAAGGCTGTGTTAAAAGTATGTCCCCGGATTGTCTTTACAAGAGGAAAAACTTTTTTATTATTCAAATTGTGAGAAAAATGTATTCTTTTTTTCATCACATTCTCAAAATTTCTGCTTATTCTAAACGGTTAATCCTGTGTATACTTTTCTAAATGTCCATATCGTTATAATCCATATCGAGAAAATTATAAAAAACATGATTTATATTGTTGAAAGTCCTAAAAATCACAGAGAAACTAATAACTAAAGTGAGAGGGCTTGTGGAATAGGGCATTTCGTAGACAAGTTTATTTTGTCACCGCGCATACCAGACGCGCATAGCGTTTAGGCGGTCAAAAACGGAAGTTTTCAACTTTGCAAGTTAAACATTTGACAGGATTAATTAGATTGTCAGTAGCTTTTTCTATTTCTTAGTTCTAGAAGGAGATAACTAAAATCTGTTGATAATCGGAGCAAATCGGAGTAATAAATTGTTTTTAACTGAATGTGCCTGTTTTTTTAGCTTGTTAGAAGAGAAGATTATTGTCATTATTGATTATTTCAGATTCCACGATTATTCGGCATTTTTGTAATTTTTGTTTTGTAGTTGAGACCCAGACAAAACGTTTCCATTAAAGGTAAGTTTTATCTCGGTAATTATTTTAACATACTAATAGTAATAGTGAGTGCACATAATAATTGTACAGCTGGTTAAAAAAAAATGAATACGACTCTACACATTTTTTCGAATTGTTTTTAACCGAATGCCTGTTCTTTAGCTTGTCAGAATATTTGAGCATTGAGTATTTTGACATGTTAAAGGTGATTGTGATATTGTGTAAAAACAACTTTGCTTCCTGATTGAAGTCAGACAAAACGTTTCCAAGAACGTCAGAATCATAGAATATACTGCCCGAAATAATAAAAATGTGTAAAGAGTCGTATTCATTTTTTTTGGAACCAGCTGTACATTGCTAATTTAATTTTTTAAATTTAAAACATCACATTCTTTTCTGATACCTGGTATTATTTCCAGTAATACAAATTATTTTCTTCAACTGCTAGGTTCTTGTTATAGAATAAAGACTATCAAAAACATTGAATACCTACGGGATACCTACTAATACTCTGTGCGAGCTCCCAACCGTGCTTCCCTGTTCACTCCCAACCAAGTTAGATAAAAAAGATACTGAAGATTGCAGCCTTGAGTTGGAGTATGGCAAGGAGTATGGAGTTAAATAAATTATTATGTTCCTACACAGTATTTTATTTATAGGTTTAATGCTTTAAAGTCTAATAATAAATTTTCGCTGGCAACAAAATAATCTAAAAAAACTACGAAGATTTCTTATTATAAACTTTAAAGATTAAGATTCGGTTCAAATATACAAATTTTAAATTTTTGGCGCCAGTATATAGGTATGAATGCAACCTACTATATCGATAATGCGCTCATAGTTCGGGTTAGACGCCAAAGGCCGCGCCACTAACACAAGTCTTCAAAAATTAACGTTGATCGGTCTCTCTCGCTATAGTTATTAGTGTTCTCTCTGCTAAACATCAAAAGGCGTTTCTATAGTAATATAATTTCGATTTCATTCTTTGATAGATGGAAAAAAAATCTACTATATTTTCATGTTTTTTTTTATATTTTTCTAAATCGGTATGGAAATTTGAAAAAGTATAAACGGGATTAACCATTTTAGAACAAGCAAAAATTTTATAAAGAATGCATTTTTCTCAAAATATCAATAATAAAAAAGTTTTTCTTTTTGTAAAGACAATCCGGGGACATCCTGTAGATTGGAATTGAAAATACGATTCTTTTAAGTGACAATGTCAAAAGTTGACATATGTCATTCTATTGAGAGTGTTGAAAAACATTTTTAGAAACCATAGATAAATGCAACAAGTTTAGATTGGAAAGCCCGTAAAAATTTTAGGTCGCGAAATTATTTTGGGTCGCGACCATTATACGCGATCTGGCGCTGCTATAGCAGTCGCTAAGAACAACGGCAAACAAAAACAGAAATAATTTTCTTTTGTCAAAGTCAGAATCTTCAAAAATCATAAAAATCTTCAAAATCTAAACCGCTCTCATTAAAGAAATTCCGAAACGTGTTTATAGCGTACATTTTCAAAGTAATTATTGCTACTTTGTGAGTTTAATTCAAGTTTTATTTACTCCAACCGGTGATAATTGTGAAAAAGTGGCATAAAAACTTAAAAACCTGTGCTGTGAACTGTGAACTGCAAAAACCATCGTGGATCGTGGCATAACGTCGGTTTCCAATGTTTCATAGGTATTTCATACATGCGTCCTTATATAAAATAAAGTTTCTTGTATGCAACACACTGTATTTTATTTATAATATGTAACGAAAATAATAATAAATTTGAATAAACAATATTTGGCGATATAATTCCGGAAAAAGCCGAACCGCTCCGAAATTTTCAAAAGTTTTGGGTCGCGACCGTTGCATGAATAGCGCCAAATAGTGTTTACATTGTCCTTATGGGCACTTTCCAATCTAAACTTGTTTCATTTATCTATGTTAGAAACCTCATAGCAAGGCAAATAAAATAGAAAATTAATATAGAGTGTATCCCATTTCAAGAAATGTTTGGATCATATTTTAAAAATGACAGTTCCCAGCGAAAAAATAACTACATCACTAAGTGAACAACTTTATGGGACTCGTTTTCACCTTTTCAATAAGTAGTAAGATAACCGAGATACGAGGGGAATCGAAAAATGCAAAGTATCAATTTCGTCTTGTATTTCAGGAACTAAGAGGGCTAGGACGAATTTTTGTGTAACATCTTTAGTTTCATAAAAAAGTAGCATAGTGATGTGAAAACTGCACCTTTGTATCTACTAATAAACGAGAAACTCCGTAAAACACACGAAAATGGGACACTCTGTGCATTAAAAAAAAGAAACTTCAGTTTAAGAAGTTCAGAAAAATACAGTTTATAATATATTCATACATTGAATAATATGTTTTAAAACTCAATTATCTACCGCATGATGTAATAATGACTAACTGAGTCTCTTTGTTGTGCAGTTACTGAAAGAGTACTCTCTTGGAGCGAAAGGCCCTGGTACATAATGAAGAGCTTAGGTCGGGACAGCATCAGACAGATGGAGCTCTGCAGATTCTACCTGCAGCTGAAGCAGGATCCTCACGGACCAAACGTAGCACTCTTTCTCGGAAATCTGCCACCAAATTTAGTGGAGAACGCCTACAAAAATCAATTGACAGACCTACTCGGCAAAGGTAAGGATTCATCAGATTATTTACACAGCTTATAGGTTAACATAGAGCTGGTTAAAATCTTGATTTTTATTAAGTTTTACGCATAATTTTTGCTAAATAACGTTAGAATAAATACAGGGTTGTTCACCACATACGACACGGAGTGTTGTAGCTAAACGATTAGATTTTTACAAATTGTAAGTTTTGGGTTCGTTGAAGGACTATTAGAGCTACAATTTAAAAATATATTTACAAGATACAGAGTGTCCCAAATAAATAATAAATATCAAAGTTGTATTTTTTTTAAATGGAACACCCCTGTATTATTGCATTTTAGCTTCTACGATTACAATAAAGGTAGAATTTGATTTGAGCTTAGTTACACTTAAACCTTACCGTTTTGAAATATTTTTTGAATTTTTGTAAAATTGCAGTATAAATTTTACGGTTTCATTTCTCCGAGGGTATCAAAGTTTTTTAATATTAAATATTTACTGAAGTTTATTTATCGATCAGTTATTGTGTTGCAATAATAAAGAATTATACTACCTTATACAGAAAGTGTCTATAACTTTATTATTTTAATAATTACTAATTATAAACGGCAATAACTTATTTAATTTAAATAGAACACCCTGTATATTTTATGAGAATCAGATGCACAATTTAATTGTCTATCAAATTGTATTATACCACTTCTTACCTACTCCTTCAAGTTTTCGTAGAATATGCATTTTCTTATAATTTAGACCTCATTTATCAATATACCCATGGAAAATTGACATTTTAGATTGTTTTTAAAACAACAAATGTACAAAATGTACAGGCTAGTAATATTATCGTTTTTAGTAAAACGATAATATTACTAGCCTATTTGTATGCAAAAAGAAAACTATTTAAATCTTTATAAAAGAGTGTACCATTAATTAAATATACCACCAGTATTTCTGCCCATATACTAATTAACTACATACTTAATTGTGTTCGTTAATAAATTATTCTAAATAAATGTGGATTTGAATCAGAAATCAATATAATAATAAGTTATGAAAATGAACGTCTCTGTTGTTAGAAATAAGCATTTGTCAAAAAATTAAATATCATTTTTAAGGTGTTACTTATTACCACACTGTCTAATACACATACATAATTCAGTTTTTTAGTTTTTGGAGCAATTATTATTAATCAACGCAAACAGTCAATTAATGTAGTTTGAATACTGGAATCATATTAATTGGTCCTCTTTAACAAATATTTAAACAGTTTTTTTTTATTTTTTAATGAAATAAACGAACTATGTCGACAATATTAGTATTTGTACTCTTTAAAAATTTGGTACATCTTTAAAAATAATCTAAAATATCAGTATTCCATGGGTATATTGATAAATGAGTTCTAAATTACAAGAAAATGCATTTTCTACGGAAACTTGAGAGACAGGTAAAAAATGGTATAATACAATTTGATAGACAATTAAATTGTGCATCTGATGCTCATAAAATATACAGGGTGTTCCATTTAAATTAAACAAGTTATTGCCGTTTAAATCTAACAATTATTTAAAATAAATATTTAGACACTCTGTATAAGGTAGTAAAATTTTTATTATTGCAACACAATAACTGATCAATAAATAAACTTCAGTAAATATTTAGTATTAAAAACTTTGACACCCTCGGAGAAATGAAGCCTTAAAATTTATACTGCAATTTCACAAAATTGAAAATATTTCAAAAACGGTAAGGTTTAAGTGTAATAAACCTTAATCAAATTTACCTTTATTTTAATCGTAGAAACTAAAAATGTAATAATATACAGGGTGTTCCATTTAAAAAAATACAACTTTGATATTTTTTTTTATTTGGGACACTCTCTAACTTGTAAAAATATTTTTAAATTGTAGCTCTAATAGTCCTTCAACGAACCGAAAACTTACAATTTGTAAAAATCTAATCGTTTAGCTACAATATTCCGTGTCGTATGTGGTGAACAACCCTGTATAACAATAAACACACGTAAATATTTTTTAAGCGTGTGTCACAAAAAATGAAGTTTTACGGATCTATTAACGTCCCTAAAGTGTATCTTTTTTGGCCGGTTTTTTTACTTTACGGCTGCTCTTTTACTTTTTCCGTTTCCGGTTTTTAATGGCGGGCTGTTCAGGAGGTTTGAATGAGGGTTAATATACTTTTTACTCTTTCTAGTAGTAAATAATACAACAAAATTACTAAAAAATATTTATTTGGAATTTAGAACAATGTAAATATGCAAATCAACACAATTAAAGAGCTATAAACACATAAACTACTGTATCAATATCAAATATTTAAATAATATCAGAGATGCTGTGTTAAAGCGAATTAGTAAAGTAACAGTGCATTGACTTACAGAAACTTGAAGATAAATAAATGTTTTCACAGCTTCACGGATAAATAACTGGAAGCAGGAAAAAGGCAACCGGAACCCACACAAAACCTGGAATCAAAAAAAATATGTAAAAAATATAAATATAGGTACCTACATAAGACTTTTGTGAATTAAATCAAACAGGACTTGAATGAAAATAAAATGAATAAAAAATATGATACATATACATCTAATACCTCATTTGTATTTTAAAAATAATCTACATACATAGATTTATAGCATTATTGCTATGAAAATACATAATAGGTACCTATGTGATATGTAATTACGCATTTCTGTTCATCTTGTAGAAAATTAATGTAGGCTAATACTAGTTCAATAATCATAATTTACCTTGTATAACTTGCTTTCAATTGCTCAAAATCACCGATCTGTCTTTAAAGTAGAGATACGGAAAAATCCAAGAATATCCCAAGATCCTTGGGTTTAAAGCTAAAAAAATATAAAAACAGTTAATATATTACCTATTTTTACATATAATATGGCCCATACCTACTACACGCAGAAACGTCGATTTCATCATTTTCTTCATGTAATTAATATCATATATACTTTATTAAAGTGTTAACAAGGAACTTTATATCAAAAAACATCTTTGTACTTATAAATTTCAGCCGAAATATCATAAACAAACTTCCAATCAAATCTAAACGGCAAAAATTAAAATGGCACCAAATGGCACCCGACCTTGCCAGAGGCCTCGGGAGTTGACACATGGGTGATACACAGACAAAAGAAGAGGACGCTGACGTGCATAAAAATGTTCCGTAACAGAAATTGACAGAAATCATATAGAAATATTCAGATTTTTGCCTAGGACAGTCTAGAAGGCCTTCTAGACAGTCTAGAAGGCTTTACTGTCACCCTATGCTGTCACCCCCCTGATTTCCACGTCCGATATTAAGATTGTCAAATTATAAAGGCGGCCTACTAGACACACTTAATTTGCATGTTTAGATTATTTTCCCATAAAACAAAAGAAAAGGTTCCGTTACTAGGCTATGTATTTACAGGCTTTCCGTTTATATCAGTGAAATGAAATTTAAAATAAATAACTAACAAATAATAAAAACCACATTATACGGGATATACTGTGATAAAAAACAGTTAAAAAGAAAGTATGAGTGACAGTGATAGTGACAATCCAGCTGAAAATTATTAAGCCGCCAATGCAGCCACTCTAAATTTATTACCTGAAAAATCCAGGCAAATTTACTTAAAACAGTATGACATTTTTATGAAATGGTGCAACATACATAATATTAAAAAATTAAAAGATGAAGTACTTCTCGCATTTTCTGTTTTTTGCAACTTCTGTTTATAATACTGTAAGTAATTCTGTACACATCTTTGTTACTTAATAATACATTTTTCATTTGGTTAATAAAAATTTGAATCTAATCTTTCAGTTTCGTCTTTATTTAGGAACAAAATTGTAAAAAAATTGTTACTTACTTCAAAAGACACTCTCTTAAAAAATGTTGTGAGCACCTCAGCCGTTTGATATTTTTCGTCAACTTTAAGGCCTTGGTACACAAATAACAATTTTTTTCATTTTATAGAGAATAAATTTTCGAAAATCGGCCCAATCTACTACGAATACGGCTCGATGGTGGTAACTTTTGAAGACGCAGAAACAGCAGTCAGAGCTCTCTACATTCTCAGAGAAGCCCGATTAGAAGAAAAACAAAATTTACTAGGTGAGTCAAATAATAACGATTCTTGGGATAAATAAAAATAAATGGTTCATTATTTTGCCCACAAAACATTTGTTTATTTGCAGTTTGTATTGATGACAGACTTAATATAGTTCATAGTCTATATGCAATGTTTGTATAGTTTACAGACTATACCTAATATACAGGGTGAGTCTTAAATAAGTGGAAATATTTTCAGGGCCGGTAGATCTCGATAAAAGAAACATATTTTCTTTTTACCGTTTTTCCTAAATAAAAGTCCCAAATAACCGAGATATTTTACTTCGAAAATTTCAAAAATGTGATTTTTTGCTTAAATTTTGAGAACCACCCTCATCTTTTCTGGGTTTTCTTTCTTGTAAATTTAATCCACTATCTGTGCTGCCATATTATGAAGATGTTTTTAACTAAAAATTTAAAAAAATCGATTTTTTTTGCGAAAAAACCTGTTGCAGGAGTCAAAATATACGAGTACTACCCCTAAAAATATTTGCACTTATTTAAGACTCATCCTGTATAGTTCATATAGACCACAGATTCAATAAGTTCATCTTGTAATGTGTAATTGTGATATACTAAGGGCTGGAAAAGGTTAGTCTTGGGTCGACATTTCCGTATGTAAGAAGAGTATAATGTGTTTATAATGTACTGAACAAAGAAAAACTGTGCACATTGCTAAGAGACGTGGAAAAGGATATAGCAGATTTCATGATATTGTATCATGGCAGATTTGTCGCAGTCGATCGGTCGACCCAATCAGTACTTAAAGTTCTAGGGAAAGGTGTACATCTCGTGATACTTTAATTATTGACGAGTCGTAATTTTTCCTATAGCAAGAAAATTTTTAAGTGCAAGTTAGAAACATTTGCATTTTTGGTAAAAATAACTGGACTTGAGTTGGTGTTCGACACTGGTCGCGCTATTAGAACTCAAGAATTCAAAAATCAATATCGATAGAAATAATTGATTGTAGATTTTTGAAAAACTTTCTTAACACTTCTGCTATATTTTCTTCGCAGACAGTATGTGAAAATCTTTATAAATAAAAAACTTACTCGACTGCTGAAAATTGCTATGCACTAAAAGTAATGGATGGGTTGTTTAACATTTTTGAATGAAAAAAAAACAACCTTATCGAATTTTTCTTATTTAAATATATTGTAAAAAATCCCATCTTCAATATAAGAAACAAGTTTCAATATCTAAAGTGGTTCTTAAGTTATGGCATGTTATGTGTTAAAAGTTGAGTTTTCAAATTATCGCGATTACTGACGTTTTCTCGTTATAAAAAAAATGGACACCCTAGCGATATTCTTATAATTCCATTCTAGATGCTCAGAAACATATTTAATGATTTTATTTAGTTATCTTTTCGAAAAAAAGTCTTTTAAAAATAAGCGGTTTGCGATCGTGATTTTACTTTACTTGTTAGGAAAAGGCGTACCGGCAACGCCGCAACAGCACACCGTCGCATTCCTCTCACTCCGACTTAATAAGATCCCTATGCGATTTACTTATTACCACACATGTAAATACCGACCCAAAAGTAACAGTTGCCAGCACGGTATAAAACAAACAATACATTTTTAGAACCTGTGAATCATATCTGAATATATTGTGACGCAACTAAAATGGCGCTTATCATGTTTTTCACCTGGACCCTTCAATTGTTATTATAAAATTTGCACAATTTTTTAAATTCAAAATATTGACGTCATATTTGGTGAAAAAAATATAATTTTGAATATATTTCATAATTGAAAGGGTAACTGCAATGACCAGACAGTTCCAAGAAAACTAAATTTTTACTGAGTTGGCCTTTAAAAATAGTCCAATTGTTCCCTGCAACAAGCAGATATCTCCATTTAACGATAAATAAATGACAACGTTATTTTTAGCTGCCCTGATTTCGGCTTGTAGCAAGACCCAGAGCAGCTGCTGGAGCTGTTTTCAGGTTATTGTAGCCACCAAATCACATAATACTGTTAAGATGTGTCTATTTATATTGTTTGTCTGAGACAAAACAAAAATATTTCTTTTTATTAAATATTTTAATAAACTACTGATCTTCAGTGATGCTATTACCCAACATCGAGCCATCTATGATCCCAGCTGACGTACACCCATTGCTGGTGTTCGTGAATGTCAAATCTGGTGGCCGTCAGGGTATGGAACTCATCTCCAACTTTAGAAGACTCCTCAACCCGTACCAAGTGTTTGACTTGGACATTGGAGGTCCTCTACCGGGTCTCTACGTGTTCAGAAACATACCCAAGTACAAGATACTGGTATGCGGGGGTGACGGTACCATCGGATGGGTACTGCAGTGTCTGGACAATGTGGGTCAGGATTCGCAGTGTTCGTCGCCGGCCTGTGCCATAGTACCCTTGGGAACAGGTAAGAATATGTGACTGTTTTACAATATACAGTGTGCACCATTAATTTAAAAAATATCTATACCAGATTTCTTGTTTGAGATTTTTATTCATTTTGTTTACAAACTATACGGAGCTATCAACAATTTTGCTTGTTTAGCTGGTAATAAATTTAAGAAATGCGAATATTTAACAGCTGTTATCACTAGCGTTAAAACCAACTAAAATTATCGGTAATTTTTTGACGATATTTAAATTCCTTTTCCATGAAATCCAAAGAATCCAAGAAATTAATTTAACCTGAAGGTTTTCTAATTTAGTTATTGAATAAGTGTATTAAAAAATACCAATTAGGTTACTTGCTCGTGATAGATTTTGATAATAAAACATATTTAATTATTAACGATTACATAAATAATAACATTATAAAAATTAACATTATAAACTAGTTTTATCCCAAGAAAATGTTTGTTAGAGGGTATCCAATATGAAATAAAATATATTTGAATTTAGTAGTAAAAAGTTATGCATATTTTTTATAAATTTAAAAGGTAAAATATACTTTTGTATGGGCTTATCATATTGTTCCATTTTCGTTTGTTACTTCCTGCTTAACAGCATTTTGGAACTGTCCTACTATATGTTCCTGATATTTAATAAATAATTAAACAAAATTATAATTCTGTATTGATTAGAAGTTACTTAGCCGATTACGTTTTTAATCTTGTTTTGAACACCGGAATGAAAATTAGCTCTGATTATAAAAGTATTCCTTTTCCATATTAAACGCTATAGTTGTATTAAAAAATATGTTGATTGCAAAAATAACAAAATCAAGACCTGTAAATTTTGAAGAAGATAAAGATAAGAAAAGCCAAATATAATGTAGTCAATAAATTGACATATTTTGCTAAAACTTTTCGATCCATAATTTGTTTTAACATCAGCACCAATTTCTTATCCTAAAATCCTCTATCGCAGTATTGCCAACTATTTTTGATCGCGCTGTACGGGCAATAGTAGTGATTTTTGAAATAGAACCATTTAAACCAAATTTTCTGGATATAAATCTTTTTTCTTCAAAATATGGAGCGATAATTGATAACGCTATATGAAGTATCTATAACGTGGAGTATAATAGTTTAGTAACTGTAATCTAATTGAGTTATTTATTTAATTAACAACCGCTACAAACAGGGTGGCGCCTCTCAAACGCCGCGGAAGCTCCAAGGAGAACGGTAGTTTAAATCGAATTGAAATTTTGGCAGCATATGTAGGTTAACTAAAACATTTTATAAAAATATATAGAATTGTACAGGGAATTATACAGGGAAGAATGGAAACAAAGTATAACAATACCCATTTTTAAAAAGGGAGATAAAACAGACCCAGCAAACTATAGAGGAATAACATTACTGAGCACCTCGCTAAAACTTCTGACTAAGGTCATTGCGGACAAAATCTCCTCAATAGTGCCAATAAGCGAGGAACAACAAGGATTCCGAAGAAACCGATCAACTACCGATGCACTATTCATACTCAGGCAACTAGTTGAAAAATCCTTAGAATATAACTCTCCAGCCTATCTATGTTTTAAAGATTTAACAAAGGCCTTTGATAGAGTCCAACTAAAAGACATCATCACCATCTTGGAAAGCAGCAATGTCTCGAAAAAACTCACAGAACTTATCAAGGACTTAAATACAAACAACAACCCAAATAAGAACAAACTTTACCTTAACGCAGCATCTTCGAACTACAACTGGTATTCGCCAAGGCGACAGTCTCAGCCCTCTGTTATTCAACACAATCATGGATCAAGTAATAAAAACCGTCAAGAATACTGGATTAGGATATCGAATGGGAATGCATAAAGTAAACATATTATGCTATGCCGATGAGGCAGTACTTACTGCAGAGTCAGAGGACGATCTCCAAAGAATGCTACAAGCTTTTAACAGACAGGCAGAAAAACTTAACATGCAAATTTCCACAAATAAGACCAAATGCATGACCATAACAAAGGAGCCTCTACGGTGCAAATTGGTAATAAAAAACAAAACTATTGATCAGATAATGTCATTCGAATACCTCGGATGCAAAATTACAAGCTCAGGATTTCTGGAAGAAGAAGTAAGGAAACAAGCCAATAAAGCTGCCGCAATATCAGGACATCTTAATTATCCCATATGGAAAAACAAACATTTGAGTACAGAATGTAAGTCAAGAATATACAAAACCTGCATACGACCAGTGATGACATATGGTGCTGAAACCAGAGCTGAAACATCAGTAACAAAGAGAATCCTACGAACTACTGAAATGAAGACCTTAAGAATGATAACTGGATACACATTGAGGGACAGACAGAGAAATGTAGACATAAGAGAAAAGTGCCAAACAAACGACGTTGTCAGATGGATAAGGCAGAGAAGAAGAGAATGGAACCAGCATGTCAATAGAATGGGCCCCGACAGAATGGCCATAATAATTCGCAACAACGTACCCCATGGCAGAAGACCTACTGGACGACCACCTAAACGTTGGCAAGACAGTTGGCAGTCAACCTCGCAAGAGTTGCTTAGACGAGGAGGAAACCAGAACTAAACAGGCGATACGCCTTCTAAAAGAAGAAGAAGAAGAAGATACAGGGTGTTTCCCAAAAAAGTTACACATTAAAGTTGTGTTTTTTCTAATGGAACACCCTATATATTAATTGATTTTCGGATTCTAGGAAAAAAATATAGGTGAATTGTATTAAAGAAGCATATACCTAAAATCTAAGGATTTTGACATATTTCACATTTTGTGAAAATTAAGAGTAAATTTTAAATTTCGATAACAGCTAATTTCGAAGCCAAGTTACTCCTTTATTTTAAATAAAACACCCAGTATATTTTCTCCGGTGTTCAATGGGGAATTTATATATCTTCAAAATATTGTTAAGGTTGCCCACACCTCAGACAAAGATTTTCCTAGATATTTTAAATTTTATAATTTTGCGTCAGTAGATCTTTGTTATTTAAAAAAATCTAGAATGGCTGTGTGATATACCTTTTGTTAATTTAACAAAAATTAAAGATTGTAGAGTAAAATATTCAACGGTAATAAAAAGGTACACGTTTAAAACATATTTTAATTATTACAGAATTAAAACTAGATATAAACCTATAATTATGTGACAAAAATTAGCTGGATGAAATCAAATGCTCAAAATACTAGATATATTATCTATACAAGATATACAATCTTTCCCGTTAACTGCATAAAATTATTGTGTTTTCAAAAGGATTTTTTCATTTCAAAATGCATATGTGGAGATCTACCTCGAAAAGCAGCTACAATAATTTCTCCCATGTTGTCGACAATAGTTGGTCGAGTTTTGTAAACACTGTCATTAACATATCCCTATAAAAACCCAGACTAGATAAAATCAGGAGCATTTAAGTATTCTATGTATTGGTGAATACACACTGCAGTCACCAACTAATAGAATCATCAATTCTCTCTGATGTAGGATAAGTTTGAATTTCCGGTAAATTTCTGAGATTTTTTTTTATTTTAACTGACACAAAATGATAACTAGCTGTTAAAGTTGGACTATAGTCTGTCCAACGAGAAGATCCTTGACAGTGATATATGTGTCTGTCATTTTCATTTCAAAGTAGTTTATTTTATTTTACAAAGAAATAAGTTGGTACAACTGGAACGCATAGCAGGAAATTATTATATTTAAAATTTGACTGACAAGTGATTACTTCAAAATATTGTGAAAACTGTATAAAACTGAAAAAATGTAATCGAGTTATTTAATTTAATAAAACGGTATGTGTTAATACAAAACAAACAAGAACAAGACACCACATACCAAAAAATATAAAAAGAACTATTTCTTACTTTCAAGCTTTATGAAACTTCCCGCATTTATGATTATATTTATTAATATAACTTATGTACAAATACAAATTTGTAATATTCCGCAGGAATAAATAAAACAACATAAATAAAACAAACTATTTTATAATTAATAACACTTACCAAATTTTATAGGTACCTTAAAGGTTGATTAATTAACTTTAATCTTCTTTCTTCTTCTTGTGCAGTACTAAAATCCATTATTTACGTATCGTGTGATGTCGATATTTTACAGCTACTCCAGTTTTTAGTATGTGTTTAGTATGGTCCTTCTACCACATTCGAGATGCACTTATCTACGACGAGATGGTATACGAACTTTAATGATGGTAAATTTATTGGTGTATAAGACTTTTTGCCTGGGCAGCGAGTATTAACCATAAACTGTGCTCTGGGTCTACAGTTAATTTTCACTCGATTTTTCCTCCACTTGACTTCAAAAGACACAAAACAGACGTAATAACACGAATCAAAATACATCATCTTCCAAAACGCAGGATATTTGAAAAAACTGACAAAAGTTGACACAAAATTATAACCTCTAATTTGGCAAGACTTTGACAAGCGTCAAAAATCTAAGGGCGAGTTCATACGCATCGGCGTCCGTTTGTCGTTCATCGTTCCGTCAAACCAATAAAATTGAAATACGATCTGTCATTTTTGAAATAAACCAATAAAACTGGTTAAAAACAACAAGAGACGACGCATGACGGATTTATATTTAAACCCATCCATAGTTAACTTAAAAATTGTTAGAAACTTTTTTTACTAAAATAAATAGATTGGTAAGGGACGTCATCTGCTTTTTTTCTGTCATTGTCTGTCGAAATCTTACCTGAGAAAAAAAACAGAGTATAGTTAGACAGCTATATTGAAGTAGCGTCAGACATATCACAGCCACCTAGATTTTATCAAATAATAAAACCGACCTTGCAGTAAATAAGTATATAACTAGTCTTGGTATTGGCCTTGGTCTTGCAGAGTCCAGTTTTGGTCTTGGTCTTATGCAAAACTCTTGCAAGTCATTTTTTTTTTTAATAAATTTTTGCTAGGTGCACTTTCTATATAGAAAATCTTTAAATAAATAGTATTTTTGATAATTTAATGCAAACAAAACTTTAAAGAATGAAATTATTAGAATATTTGTCTGGCAAAAATGTTTATCTTTCAATATATTGTATGGAATCAGTGTTTCTTTCATTAAATTTTTTTGCAATAGCCGGGAAACGCTATTTGTAATAAATTAAAACAATAATTTTGAACAAATAAATAATTTCTTGTATCATATAATTGGTAAAAATAAATGCCAGACCGCGAGACAGCAACAGCCGTGCATGCTTGGTCTTGGTCTTGCGTAAGTTTTGCACTGGTCGGTCTTGCAGATCAAATGCTAGACCAATATCAAGACCGCAAGATCAAGACCAGAGTCGCTCATCGCTAATTCGGTTCTTAAAAGTATTCGAGTACAAAGTATTCAATTATAAAAATTTTTCGATTCTCCCATCACTTAACCTCTCTGTTTCTCCTCCTTTTACAGGCAACGATCTGGCGCGCGTCCTGCGCTGGGGCGCTGGGTACGCGGACGGCGAGGACCCCCTCAACCTCCTCAAGGACGTGATCGAGGCGGAGGAGATCCTCCTCGACCGCTGGACGGTCGTGCTGCACCCCGAGGAGAAATCGGAGAAGCCGGAGGACAGTTTGAAGCAGGTCAATTCCACCGGTAAGAAGAGGCAAAAACTGTCCAAATTGAAAGTGACCAATGAGCAAATTAAAAAAGCAGGTCAATCCTATGTGTTTTTCGATGTTGTTTTGCTGTAACTGCGCGCGACGTCCTTTTTACTCTATATTTTTCTCGTTGATTGTTTTCCGTGACTAACAGTTATTAACTTTTTTTTTTAGTCTTGTTTAACATTAAATAACTTATAAGTATTCTACAGAGTGTTCATAAAATTATACATAGACTCACCATTTCAGTGAATTTGTACAAATAAAATTGAAATTTTGGTTAAAGAAATTATTAACATAATATAAAACCAATTTTGTTGTCTTCAAGAATGGTATGATTGAAAAGATTTTTTTAAACTTTTCAATTCTTGAAAATACTTTAATCGAATAATCCTACATCAGAACCTACAACAGATTTCATATTTCTTAAACTTCATTCAGAACCTCGAAATTAGTGGAAGAAATTAGTGATCTCAATTAACTTAGAAGTTTATTCCTCTAATTTCAACTTTTTCCACTAATTATACTTCAAAATGTGTGAGTAATGTAATTTTGGCCTTTGATTATCATTGGTCAAGAGAAATTGTGGCAACAAATTAAAAGTTTATTGTTTTACAAAACTATTAGGCTTTCTCTACGGATACAACTGACTACCGCAAGCTATTGCTAGGACATTATATGTATTTTTTAGCCTTGTGATTGATCCTAAAATCTTTAGTATAAAGTATAATTGAAACCACTAATTTATTCCACTAATTGCGAGGTTCTGAATGAAGCTAAAGGTTTGTTAACATTTTCTATTAGGTGAAAATTACTACCACTAATTTTGACGTTCTGAATACGTACATTGAAATTAGAGGAACAAACTTCTACGCTAATTGAAACCACTAATTTATTCCACTAATTTCGGGATTCTGAACGAAACTTTAAAAGTAATTTTTGCTTGAAAGACACGGCAGATTCCAAAAATATAAAATTAAAAATGGAAATTAACGACTCTGTAACTATATCAAACTATAACTAACCTTTCCTGTTTTTTTTTGTTAAATACCTGTTATTAACACTAAATAATAAATATTACATATAAAAAACAAATACAATAATATTTAATCACATGATCAATATTAGAATTGAACAAAATTACGGCAAAACAACAATTTTTTATTATTCTGAATGTATTTGTTTTTCAGTTATTCGATTTTTTTATGTATTATTGTTTTGTTTAATTAATTTTATCCCGTCAATTGGATGTTTTTTTTGTGTAACAACAACAAATTGGTCTTTAGTTTGGACTAGTAAGAATTATTTCACCTCAATTTAGCGAAAATCATTAGCTACTCTAGTAGTTCACACGTAAATCCTACCAAAACTACAATTCCCACAAAAAAGTCAATCATTTTTTCTTATTATGAAAGACAGGTAAAATAAGTAAAATAACACAGTTAGTTTTTGCTTGTCTAAAAATTAAAAATGAAGTATAAAACAAAAAAAAATTAACAAAAATAATAGAGGGACAAAATTAAGAAAATAGATGTAAAATGTAAAAAAAATTAAACAAATTGTTTAAGAATTTTAATAAAAAAGGATATATTCCAACATTTTTAATACGAAATGTCAAATTTGACGGGTTAACACCTCAAATTTTACGTAAAGCAACGTATCTATGACGATAAGGAGACTTTCTTTTTATTTAAATTTTGGTGTTTAGACAAGCATAATGAACTGGGTTGGTTAATTTCACCTATCTCTAATAATAAAAAAATCTTATTTCAGACTTTTTTTGCGGGCACTGTATACCGGGTGTTGCATCGTCGGACGGGACATAGAAAATCCCATGTAAATTTTAATGGAGTCAATTATTTAGGTACCAGGGACTTGGTTCATATGGGCAAGGTCGTGCGGCGCACGACGGCGTCAAAGCCCCAAGGGCGCCTGCTGTTACTGACTTTAAAAAATACTAAAACCATTTTTTGGAACTTATCAACAAATTAACATAAAATTTAAGTAATACTTTTATCTATGAACGCCAGTGGTGAAAATATATTATCCACCAATGTCGAGCGCCGCACCTCTGGTCATTGGGAATTTTGGCTTAATATTATAATATTGGAGAAAGGCGCCTACCCTTATTTCGCACGACGGCGCCGAAAATACTTGGCGCGTCCCTGTTAGGTACTATTAAATTGTTAGAACTTTAGGATTTAAGAAGATGTTCAAATATTCCTCCGTCGACTGCTAGACAATAACCCAGGCGATCATAAAATTCTCTTCTTACATTGGTTAGTTGGTAAACTGAAATTCTATTGCATTCGGCAGAAATAGCATTTTTTAACTCGTCTAGATTTGGGTATTTTTTATCCTTGTATATCCTGTTTTTCAAATGGCCCCAGAGAAAGAAATCATTTGGCGAAATATCAGGAGACCTTGCTGGCCAATTTACTGTATGATTTAGGCCAATAACGTTTCCGTTAAAACTATTGTCTAAATATTCTCGAACAGCCAGGGTACTATGTGCCGGGCAGCCATCCATTTGGTACCAAACTTCCTGATTTTCCCTAGCGGCATCATGTAAAGCAGGTAAAATATGATTTTCGAGTAGTTCCAAATAATATTCTGCATTTAAATTTCGCATAAGAAATAATGGCCCGATAATATTGTGTCCGAATATCCCTGCCCAAACATTTACTTTCTGTGGATATTGCGTCCTTGTTTCGACAAACCTGTGTTGGTTTTCTTTGTTCCAATATCGATCATTTTGAACATTAGGTTCATTATTTAAGGTAAACGTGCATTCGTCAGTGAAACATGTTTTTTAAAAAATCCCTATCCGTGTTTGCTCTTTCCATCATATCAAAACAAAACGCCTGCCGCCGTATTTCGTCCCCATCTCGTAACTCTTGGTGCTTTTCATATTTGAAGGAATAGTATTTATGTCGTTTCAAAAGAAACGCTGTAGTGTGATCTATTCCTATTTCATCCTCAAGTTTCCTTTATGCTAATCTTTCCATCGTTCTCTTCCACGCACAAAAAACTTCCAAGTCGGTATCATTTATTGCATCTTCTCTTTGTTCCTGCCTTGCTTCACATCTGTAGTTATTTATTGGGTACCTTTGGTCTCAAATCTCTGGATATTCCTAGCGATTGTAGATTTTCCAGGTATCGGTCTATTCGGATACAGAGCAGCAAACATGTCCGACACCTTTTGATAACTATTTCCTTGATAATACTATTTAATCATCAATAGTTTTTCTTCGGTAGTGTAATTCATGGCTAATATTTTCGATGTAGGTATGAGTTTTTAATAATAATAAAAAAGCACTAAATAGATAAATTTCTGAAATGACAACTTTATTTGACAGTTATCTTTACCTTGACTGGTGCTCATAAGTAAATACAGGGCCATAAGAAAGGAGAAATATTTAAAAAGAACTCGGCGATAACTCGTAAACGGGCAAATTAAAAATATCTAAAGTTATTCTTTTGAATGTGGGTTTTAGTGCTCTTCCATAAACCTAAATAGAATTATTCTCTAAAATAATTAGGGAAGCCAATAATTGACCCCATTAAAATTTACTGGGATTTCCTATGTCCCGCTCGACGATGCAACAACCGGTATATTTCAGCATATGCATCATCTCCATTTGAATAGAAACACAATAGTAGACAGCCTTTTGTAGCTTGTATTTTAATATATAACGTAGTTTTTTGATCATATATAGGGTAGAAAGCGATAGTTCTTAGTAGTCCAGAAATGTATTTAAGACTCCCCAACCCACCTAAACACTTCACACAATACCGGGTGCGTCTCAAAAGTGGCTCACCCCTATAACTTTTTTATTTTCTCAGATAAAAAAACGAGATTTGGTATGTTAGTATATGACATAAATTAGGATTGATTGACGTATTCAATTGTTTTCTGTCACTTCCTCTTTCACCGGAAATAACTACAACTTTTGATTTTTAAATGGCATCCTCGGTATTTTTTTACTTTATTCCATAGAAAATGACATTTTGAATCGAATGATATATCGCATGTCAATCTTTGACATTTTTGCTTAAAACAAAATTGAATTTTAAATATCTATCTAGAGTGCCATGGCTGTGTTAAAACACTATTTTTTAATCAAGAAGCTTTGGAAAAATAGATTTGATCGTCTAATGTTTTCGTGTCTTGTCCTCGCCGGTTAAAAGATGCTGAAATCGTATATATCTCAATTTTTTCAAATGGAACGAGGATGGCTTATTAGCATATTTCGAAAAAGCATTTTTACGAATAATTTGATACCACACACTTGGTATTTGGAGTCAAATTGTCGTAATGATATGTCATTCTATTCAGAGTATCATTTTCTATCTAACGAAGCAACAAAACAGCGAGGGTGCCATTTAAAAATCAAAAGTTGTAGTCATTTCCGGTGAAACAGGAAGTGACAGAAAACAATTGAATACATCAATCAATCCTATTTTATGTAATATACTACAATACCAAATCTCGTTTTTTTGTCTGAAAAAATAAAAAAGTTATAGGGGTGAGCCACTTTTGAGACGCACCCGGTATATCATTAATAATTTTACAAGGCCAAGGTTGCTATAAGAAATATACAGGGGGAGTAAACAATAAGCCACAGGTCATTATCACATTTTTTTCGGGAATTACTAAAAATTCTAAGTATATTAATATCGGAGAAAAATATTTTTAACAATTTATATTATACAAGTGTTGGTAGCCTATTTGCAAGGTTTGTTAGTTGCGTTTGTGCTATGTTTACTTAATTTTATTTCCTATATATTTTCTAATTGGTTTTATAGGCAAAGTGTATAAATCTGGAACATTTGAACTTGAATTACAGAGAGATTATTGTGAATTTTTGAAACAAATTGTATCTTATGCAACGTGAGCAGATCCATACTAAATACGTGAAAAATAAAGGCACAATTTTTACTAGAAAAATCCTACGGAATGATCGAAAAAACGGCGTCAAAACGGCCGGGAATGACGATCGATGATGATTTGCCGAGGTCAATCTCTAGAAGTCATTAACTAATTACGTGCCA